GGTTCAGAGGCGTCCCCTGTTTTAGCCAGTTCACCTGGCTGATTCACTCAGTAGTTTTACTCCTGTCTCCCTTGTCTCTGCCTGGACCTACCGTGGACTCTTGATGGCAATGGGAGAAACCTGGCCAGTATTCAAGTGGTTTCTGCAACTTCTGCCCAGCATTGGATGAGTTCCTCACACCATTCGCTCTCTGGTCCCCTAAAACTGGCAGCAGGGTGGCTGCTCAGTGGGAGACCCAACCTGCACCTCCCTGCAGTCCCTCCCTGCCTTGGCTCGGCCTGGCCCAGCCCTGGGATGGAGCAGGAGCATGGTGCTCTTTTTTTTGCTGCTAGGTCTCTGCTCTGCTCCCCATCCTGGGGCCGCGACTTGCAACCCCATTGCAGACCAGTTGCACCTTAAGCCCTTCAGGGCTTGAATCAGAAATGGGGAAATGTCAGAATTCAGCCAGGAGATGGGATGCAGCAGAGGACCCCCGCCAGCTGCCTCCAGATGTCTGTTCCCTGCCTCGAAACCATCAAAAATCTCCTTCCCCCACCACCTAGTGCTGCCCATCTCCTCCACTCCATGTTCCTCTGTGGTTCACCCCATCGCTCACTGAACAAACATCAAGACCACCTTTGGTCTGCGCCTTCAAGACCTCCTGGTGGCTTTCCCCCACCTTTCCTCAGGGGGAAGATCCCAGAAACAAGCCCCAAAACACATGTCACACCTGGGGGCACCTCCTGCTCTCAAAAGGGAGGTCTCTGGACGTGATGAGACAAGCTAGCACCAAAAGAGGTGGGAACAGGCTTGGTTTGGCAGTCTGAACTGGTGCCAAGAGGCAGCCTGGTGTAAATACTGAACATGACTATTCATTGTGTCCTTACAGCTCTAGAGCTCCATTTGTAAAGCAGCAGAGAAATGCAAACTTGTGTCAATTGATGTAATTTATATTGTCTCTTTAATATATAGAGCCCTGGCATTGATCTCGTGTGACTGTACAGATGAAAAGATGTAATTGGTTTTTAAATGTTTAAGGAAAGGAAAGAAACAAAAAGATGTGTTTACTACTTTGTTCCTTGCTTTGTTTGCTGATGCCCCAGATACTCTGTTTAGGGAGATATTGAAATAAGGATATCACAGTTTGGAGGTGCTGAGAGGAGCAGCCACTGGACCACGCCACCAGACAGTTTCATTTCCCAATGCACTAATGCTCAGCCAGGCTGATTTGGACTTTGCTTCCTTTGTTCTAGAGAAAATAAATGTTTATCTTCCCTAGAAGTTTAAAACCCACCTTTTAAGAGCCAAAACCCGTTTCTGGGCAGAGAAGAGGTTTACCCCACAGCTAAATGCAGCTGTGCACAGCCTCCCTCTGAGCACACAGCGCTGCTTGAAAGCTGCCTCAGCTGGCCCAGCCACAGTGTGCCAACAGGTCAAGAATTCCCCTAGGACCTCCCCTTCCTATAAAATAATCACGCTGTGCTTTAGGGACAGTTTCCATCCAAGGAAAGTCTGGTTATGGCGTGGCTCATTCCCTCTGTCCAGGTGGGCGCTCCAGTGGTGGCTGATGGTGTGAGGTGGTTGGGGTATCCCTATTTTAGAAGCAAACAGTGAAGCACTTTATTTTGGTTGTGTTTGACCCAGTTCTGGTTAAAGGTGAAGTGTGGCCAAGAAGGACACGATACTTGGAAACAAACAAAACAAAAAAAAAACCCGTAGGCAAAGGGGGGCATTCTGAAAAGGCCCCCCAGCTCCTCCCTGCGCTGAGACCCACGGGAGTGTCACCGCGTGTAAATACTGTAAATTATTTATTGAGAGAAACGCAAGTAAAGTTTGAGGTTTTTTTGACAATAAACGAGTGGGTCTCACTTTGTTCCCCCTGTGTTGGCTGGATGCAAGTGCTGCCCCATTTCTGCACTCACTCCGAAGCAGTGAAGGACCTGAAGGACCCTCTGAGAGCTCATTTCTGACCTGAATTCTCCTGAGAATTTCGATTTATCTAAAGCCAAATGAGAAAATTAAAAAGGGGATGGGGATGAAAATATAGATAATAAACCATGAGAGCCTTGCCTGGCCGGGAATTGAGATGTGCAGCAATGGAGTCCAAGCGGGTGCCACCACCCTTCCCCTGCTCACCACAGCAGATTTGTAGAGCACGGTAATGGTAATTCCTCCCTTTTGTTGGGCAGCTCTCCTGTCCCAGCTGGGTTTGTTGCTGCCCTCTAATGAGGAAAAACAAAATTGCATTTTTTTTTTCTGTTAAATTTTCCGTTTTTGAAATCTGAAGGTGCTCACTGTCACAGCAGCTGGGTACAGGGAGATGCTGAGGGCAGGCGGGACACCCACACCAACTCAAACCCCACATTATTTGGGTTAAATCTGTGCAATGATGCCCAGCACCAGAGATGTGACTGACATCTGGCTTTCCCCTCCTTCAATGCCCAGAGAACTGGCAGCGTTTGGAGAGCCAAATCCACTTCCTCTGCTGCTCCTTGCATGGGAGCTCAGGTTTAGCCACATGAAATTCCTAAACCTGAAATGGCTAAACCTGAGAACTCCTCTACAAAGTGCCCAGGGGCCAGGGGTCTGCCTCACTGAGTGTTCTGCCAGGAGGTCACCAATGTCCCCTGCTGTCCAGCCTGGGACAGCGAGCAGGCAGCCCCTGCATGTTCCAGTGGGACAGAGTGCTGATGTGAGGCAGTGGTGACCCCCGAGGCACAAGGATGGCCTGTCCCCATTAACCACACAAGGCAGCAAAGCATCCCCAGGAGGTAAGTGGGGCAGGCACAGGCTGTGCAGGGACATTGGTGGTGGCAGTGGTGGCCTTGTGGCACCTGGGAGAGGTTCAAATTGCTCTCCAAACCATGTTCAGGGCTGGTGAGGGGGCAGCCCCTGGGGGATCCAGGGTCCCATCCCATCACTGTGATAGCTCCAGTACCACCACCTGGGGCCTGGGGTGGGTTTTTAGCCCCCCTTTGGCTGTGCCTGCCCGTCCCCTGGCCTTTGGCCACTGTCCTGGGCTCTGAGCTTCACATCCGAGTGCTTGGGCTGAGCCAGGAGCAGCTGTCCCGGAGCAGCCACAGCTGCAGTCATGTTCACCAAAAATGGGCTTTTTGCTGGGAATCAACTCCCTCCAGGGGGTCTGCCCCACTGTAAAGCACAGCCCTGTCCCCTTACTGATGGGGGCAAGGCAGGGCTGGGGTCCTGTGCCAGCACGTGGCTTTGCATGGACCATGTCCTCATGGATGATGCCTTCCTGTGGGACTGACCAGACCTGCCTGGCATGGACAGGTGGGAAGGTCAGGAGGTCATTTCCTCATCGATTCTGAGAAGGATTTAGGATTGAGCTGTTCTCACGTGGTGCTGTGGGTGCGGGTGGGCAGGGAGATGCCAGGCTGAGCTGTGCTGGGGAGACACCTTGATACAGTCCTGTTGCTGGGGTGGTCTCCAGCTAGCCCACACCCTTTAGGAACTTACCAGGAGCGGCTCCCCCGAATCTCTACAGAGATTTTAGGGTGGTGCACACAGGGTACACCGTGGCAGCAGTGGGTTCTGAGCAAAGGAGCAATTAAGGTCCCACACTGGGGACTGAGGTAAAGGAGTCGAGAGGGGCCACCAGTTTGGGTACCAAGAGGTTTTCACTTTCTAGGAGGACCCAGGGACAAATGACCAAAGTTTTAAGGGAGAACAGCTGCTTTTATGAAGGGGAGGATTCAGGGGAGGGTATAACTTACAACCAATGAGGGGATCTCAGAGGAATCACTTAATGCAACCAATGGGGTTTACACAGGAGAGGGAAGAAGCCTCATAAACCAATCCTCCAGCCAGGAGGGGACAATTGGCAGGGAACATTTTGGAAAAAAAGGGGTGTAGAAACTCTGATTGCCATGGGTAGTGTATAACTGGGATTGGTTTAACCATGTAGGGAACAAGGGGAGGAACAGGGAGACTGGCATAATGATGGGCAGACAAGTGGTGGGGAAACTGTGGTAAACAGGTCAGGGCCTTGTTTATGAGGGAGCACAAAAGGGATACTTGGAATGCACCATTATAAACTTATAATGAAAACACCTAAAACAAACCAATTCAAGAGAAACGATTACAACAGATCAAACTGCAAAAAAACAACTACTACAACACCTGGCATCAGGGTGCTCACGTCCTTACCTGCCTGCCTAAATCAAAAGCATTCAGGTAGATTGATCCAGGCATGTAACACCCAGGCCAGCTCCCTGCAGCCCCTGTGCCTCCCTGTCCTGAGCCCCTCTCCCTGCTGAGCCCCATGGCTAACAGCCAGTCACTCTTTCCATTAGGAAATCCATTTTTCAGGAGCATATAACTCAGCTGTGAAATTTCACTCTAGGCTGAAACTTGGCTCAGCAGCAGAGAGACTGGGAAGGGCTGGACCCAGTGGCTGCAGGTGTGAAAAGTGCTTTTTACAATGAGCTTTTATAACTTGGGGAGAAATGTCTCCAATCCCTGCTCTGTGTTTTGCTGTGTGGGCCTCAGTGTGAGCAGTGGAGGGTAAAGACCAAACCAAAGCAGCCACTGGATGCCATCACATCCCACCTGGGGAGAGGCACATCCTGCCCAGGAGGGGCTGGGGACAGAGAGAACTCACTGGTGCAGCAGGAGCAACACTTCAGAGAAAGGGGAATTCTCTCCTGAAAAGGTAAAAATTTACACATCCTCAGAGATCCGCAAAGCGTGGAGGTGGGATAAACATAAAATCATCAGTATCATCCCAGTGAAATCCTGGTGGATCTGGGTTAGATCTCTCTGTTAGAGAATGTACAGCTCCTTCTGAACAGGTGGAAATTCTCATCTGAAGAGGCTTCCAAGTCTCTATCACCACAGACTGTGAAACTATGTAAAAACAGCCAAGCAGAATTTGCTTATTCCTGCACAGGGAAAATATCCATGGTGGCTTGCCTGTGGCAGGCAGGAAAGGGCCCTGTCATCCCAAACCATCCCCCAGACCTGCCACGGGACCCCCCAGAGACACCACGCTGGGGCCCTTCTGAAAATCTCAGTAACACTTTTTAATATACAAGAATCAAAAGTACAGCAGTTTTACAATGTAGGAAAATTTCATACATACTATATAAACAACATATTTACATCAGAAATCACTAGGACAGTGGCATTTCTTTCACAAATATAAATTAATATTAATTACTGTTTTTAGTCAACAGGTTTAAAAGTCCGTATTTTTACAGTAAGAGTCCTTCTCTCCCCAGAGGGGAGGCAGAGGTGGGGAGGAAACGGGTGAAAGCAGAAAAATATTTTTGTGTGCATCACAAACCGTTCACACAAGGACTTCAGCACTCGGATCCGTGTCCATTTTGGTTGGGACCACATTGCCTCTCCCCACAGCAAGTTTTGGTCTGCAGGATTTCCACCATGTGAACTCATTACTTTACACCATTTCCAAAGAGGTCAGGCTGAAATTTTTTTTTTTTTTTAATTGATCCACAGCAAGTTACTGCTTTTTTCTGCAAAGAGGCTGGAGGGAAACCCACAGCTGGTTAGGAAGGAAGAGCTGTACCAATGCTGACACAAACACCACAGGGAAGTTTATGGCTGTGGATGTGTCCCCTCTGATCCCACTCCCGTCCCCATGACTGTGTTTGGTTATGGTCCCTATGCTGAGGGGACATAAAATGCATAATAGTGTGTGTGTGTGCTCAGGGAAGACTTTATCCCAAATCTCCTGCTCCAGCTTCACTAAAGCAAAACCCAGCAAAGACTCACCCATCATGAGTGGACACGATGTGACTTCAACATCAGGCTAAAGTGACAGTGGGGACAGCTCTCCAGTGGATATGGGTAAAGCTTTTGCTGTTGCACAAGAAGGAAATCCCAAACACCCTTGTGCCTGGAACCTGGGATAAGCAGCAACCCCCACATCTCAACACAGAAAATGCCTCTTGCTGGGATCCAGTTTTCCTACACCAGCCCTCACCCTGGGTGCCAGTATTGCCTTTGCTACACGAGTTTGCCACGAACTTCCCACCGTGACAGCACCGCACCGTGACAAAAACAGCAATTCTCTTTGCCCCTGCGAGGCTGCCTCCATTTTCACATTAAAAGCTAATACCTCTGAAAAGAAAGGACCTCTTTGTTGAATACCACAGCCTGCAATCACAGCTTAGTGGGAAATGTGCTCTCTCCACACCTCCCACCCCTCCGAGGGGGACTGTGGAAGACTTGCCTTCAGCTGGCCCTGCACAGGTAAACACAAGTTTAACACTTTATCAGTGAAGCAAGTGCCCCTAAGGAAACAAAACTGCCCTGAATTCGGTGGAAATCTTGCAAGATAAAAACAAAAGGGGAACAAAACACTTCCCATGTGTCCCCTTAGAGCAGCGGGATGGGGAGGAGTGATGGCAGCAGATTTCCAGGGATATACTGCATGGAGGAGTATTAGTGTCAGTTTGCATGCGCCTTCCAAGGCACTGGCTGGAGTCAGGAAGCCAGCCCTGAACACCCATCTGCCCTCAGTCTTCTGGGGAAGGGACATCACAGCTTATTAGAGTCAAATACTGGCATCTTAACGGGAGGCCCAGCTTCTGTGCCCCACCTAACAGGAGTCTGGAACTGCCTGCTCTTTAACACTGAGCTCCGGTGGTGATGCAGCCCCAGACACCACGCCCGGGGCAGCCTTTGTCATCTCCAGGGAACTCCAACCTGAAAAATAATCACCCAAGGTGCTTCTGGCCAGCAGGATGTGCACAACCAACCCCTCTCACCACACCAGTGCCCAGGCTGGGCACTGGTTTGCATCAAGTGCCGTGGTTTGAATACCTGGAGTGTTTGCCCTGAAGTCCACTGAGCTGGGCTGCACATTCCTCTGTTCCCTCTGCCATGCTGGGCTCTAAGACATTTGCTCCAAGGATCTTTATGGATCAGTCCTGAATTCCTCATTCTCTCCCTGCTCACTGAGGTGCTAAGTCCTCAGGTTCATTTCCAATTTAGACAAACAAAAGGTCTATAAATGCAGGTACTTTCAGCAATTTAGAGTCACTGCTGACTGGCAGGAAGGTGACCATTCCCTAACAGTGATCACTCCACTGAATTCCTATTTCACTTTGTTCTACCATCCCTTATCTTTCACTTATAGTAGAGGTTTGTGATCACTGCTTTGTGAAGTACAGAGAGAAGTGATTTGCCCAGAGACTTTAGTGCCAGGCAGGTTAGGAGTTCCAGGATCCCCAGAGCCATCTTGTGACCTTGCATCTCCCAGCCAGCATCTGTTAGTTCCTGGAGCACCCAAGCTGCCCATGCCAGAAGAGAAGGGTTTTGTTATGGATTCCTGAGCCCTGACCACTGAGAAATACTGTTCTCACTACAATTTCTTTCAATTTCTTCTGCTGGTTAGAAGTGAACTAACCCTTTGCTAAGGATGTTGGCCTTTTTTTTCCCAGCTCCCACCTACCCCCAGAGTCAAGATTTGCCAGTTCCAGCTCTGGAGATGGGAGGAAGATCCCCCCACCTCTTCTGTTGCAGGGGACACAACAGCAATCAAAGCAGAGCCAGTTTCTCGAAATGGATAAAGACATGAAAATGATAACATGGTCAGGAAAGTGATGGATTGTCACCAGCATGGCTCCAGCTCCTTTGGAGTCACTCTGCAGGGACATCAAGTCCCTCTTTCAACCAAGTTTGGCTGCTGAGGGACTTTCCTGTCCCTCCTTGAACGTATCCTCCCATAGCCCCATGCTGATGACATACAAATCCCAGCCCAACCAGTTTATCCCCAACCCCACAGCAGCATCTGTCATGTAACATCAAGTCAGAGCAGGCACACAGCCTTCTGCACGATCCTAAGCAGCATCAATCTGCCTTCTCCTTCTGAGGAAACACTGGCTGGGGAAAACTCCCTTGGGTCCATTGGACTGAGGAAAACAAAAACAAAACAACAAACGAGGCAGCAAGACTGGTTCCATGACAGACCAGTTCAATGGTAAAAAAGGGGAAAGGAAATGGGAATCTAAACCAGAATCAAGAACTAGGGAAAATCTTCCTCCACCCACTCCCCCAAAATCCTCCTTGACCCAGCCAGATGATAGCAGCATGTTCAGAGTTTCTTGTTGCTGGCTTGGAGAAAGCAGCCACCGTCGCATCACTCCCGGTATTTCAGACGTGCGCTTCGCCCTCTCGGTCGCTTTACGCTTTCCGAATGTTCCAGTTATAATCTGGATTGTTTTTCTGTTCCAATGACCTATCCAGAGGTGACCTGTGATCAAGAGGTGACTTGGAATCGTGGGGGGATTTCTGAGAGGGGGGCGAGCGAGGGTCCGACACGGCAGGGTGCGATGGAGGGAGGGGCTGTTTGTAATCCCCCAGTTTGTCTGTGTGGAAGGACCGGTAGTGGTCCGAAGGTCCCTGGCCATGGTATCCCATGGGCGGCCTGTGGTCAGACATCCGCCGGAAATCCTGCTGGTGGTAGTTCTGAGGCCTGAAGTCGTCGGACCGTCGGCGTTTGGAATCGTGGTGGTGCCTGTGGAGAGAAAAATGGGTGGAGATCAGCTCCCCAAGGCCTCTGAGGTGAGGGAAATGCCTTAGGTTGGAAATGGGTGTGTGTATTTTATTCCTGTCTGTGGAGCAGTTATCTTCTGTTAACTGGGCAGCTTTTCTTTATCTCTTCACCAATCCTCCCTCCAGGAGATCTCTTCTGTTAATGGGCCAGTGAGTGTCCCTGCATGGCTGATAAAATTACATCATCCCATTGTGAGATGCTCTGCCCAGAGGGAGGAGCCAAGCATTCCTGCCTGGAGATAATCAGAGATTTGGAAGACCACAGGCAGCCTTTTCCACTGGATTCCCAGAGGAAGACCAGACCCATCTACACCACCACTGGACCTTCAGAGGAAAACTCCACCCTTCTACAGGATCACTGCTCCAACAGAACCACACTTTCACTGCAGGAGGGCTGCAGCCACCATTTCAATCAGATTGCTACCAACACCCTGACCCACAGGGTGTCAGGTAGTATTCTGACTCTGTCAGTGTTGTTTTGTATTACTGTATTGTTTATTTTTTTTTGTTTTCTTCCGTAATAAAGAACTGTTATTCCTGCTTCCATATCTTTGCCTGAGAGCCGCTTTGTCAGAACTCAAAATGTCCCTCAGACATTTTTGGAGGTTCCGGGCCCAGGTCAGAAGCATTTGCAGGCAGCTGGAAACAGCTGTGATTTTGGATTTGAATCATGGAATGATTTACCAACTTTGCATGAAGAACAAGAAGTCACAAAAGTTTATATATTATAGTAGAAGTAGTCACAAAGTAGAGGGAAGAAATTTTGAGTGCTGTACAGGGGGGTTTTAAGTCCTGTATTGGGGGGGGGGGGGTTTGGTTTTGTACATGGGGGTCAGAGGTTTTAAAATGGAGGGATTTGGGCCTGCCCTGTCCTCCCTCTTTCTTCTTCCATACCTCCATGTTCTTGGTGATGTTGGCACTCAGAGATTGGTTTAGAAAGGCACCATTTAATGTAGGTAGTAGGTATTGGGGAAAAACTGTACATATGTAACATGTAATGTACCATATAAAAGACAGCAGCAGCCAGGGGCAGGGGGAGAGGAGAAGAAAACGACGGCAGACAGAGGGGATGTCAGGGTGTGTGTGTGCCTCTGCCTGAGCTGCTGAGCAAACCACAGCAGCTCAAGAAGACAACATTTTAGATAACTTGCAATAAACAACCATGAAACTGAACAAGAGACTGCTGAGCCTTTCTTTGGAAGCACGGGTTGGAGGAGAGATTTTTCCACCACACGGAGCCACCCCGTGACCTAGGGTGGTCTTCAGCACCCCTTAACTTCAAAATTCTAACAATTTGGAGGAAGGGGTTTACACTGTCCGTTTCAGGGGAGGTTCCTGCCTTCCTCAGCAGACACCTGTCCTTCCAAACCACGCCATCACCCACCTGTCGTAGTAGTCGCGGTGGCCCCTGTGGTCGCGGTCGCTGTTGTACTGCTCGTAGGGCCGCTTGCGGGACAGGTTGTTTGGTCTGTAGTTGCCGGAGCTCCGGTGGGGATCCCCCCGCGACCGCCGGTCCCCGTAGTGGTGGTCCTTGTACCAGTGCTGCTCGTACTGGTGGTGCCGCTCCCCGCCCCACATCTGGTTGCTGTTGCCGCCGTAGTTGAACTTTCGATCCCTCTGCCAGTCTCCTCGGTCTGCCGTGAGCAAAGAGCAACCTCTGAGACTCTTTTGTGCTTTGGTTTAAGCCCATTTGCTTCCCTGAATTGTCCAAGAAATAATAGCTATTGGCGCCCCTTTAACTTTTTCCTCCCTAAACAATGTGGGCCAAATTTTATCCTTTGAATATCTTTATCCTATCTCTTTATCATCCTCACAAATCTTATTCCGTCCCATTCTTACGTTCTTTTCCTCACTACATCACCATGTTTTCTATCCCAGCAGTAAGCACAGCGCTAGTGTTACGTTCTATCCCATCCCCTTTAAACCTGAGCAGTCACAAGCCCCAGGAGGAGGATTTGTGTCCAGGAGCAGTAGGTCAGAAGGGAAGGTTTCTCCTGGCTTGCCAGCGCTCACCTGTGTTGCTGAAATGTCTCTTGTTTGGATGGCCGTAGTTGTCCCGGGGGTGCCCGTGCATCTGCTGCTGGGTGTGGGAAGGGGGCATGTGGATCTTCTGGGAATGGGGATTGTGAGGCACGTGGGACTGGGACATCACGGAATCGCGGCTGGAGCCCGAAGGCTCTGGGCGGAACTGCTTCTTCATGTTGGACATGTCCTCCTTCTTCTTCTGCTCCTGCAAGGTGGAACAGAGGGATACAGCTCAGCTGCTCTCCCACAGAAGAGCAGGACTGTGAGCAATGGCCTTGTCTGCCAGGCTCTGGATTTTCCTGCCTCTTTGAGGTGAGCCAGCTCTGTGCCCAAGGACAGCACAAACCTTGGTGGAGGACAGGCACAGTTGGCAGCTCTGCTTCTACACCTGATCTCTGCAGGGCAGCGTGCCCAGGCTTTTCACTCCACAGGGCAACTGAACATCACATGCCACACCAAACAATGCTTTTGCTTGGTCAGAACAGCCAGGACAAAGTGACCAGAAATACCACATGAAAAAGAAGTCTAATCAGTCTAATCAGACTGTTTAGATGTTCAGAAAATCACACACTGCCAACAACAACAAAGAACACCCACAGTAAGAGGCAGAAAGGATTGGAACTTCCAGTGCAGCAACTTTTAAGGACAGAAATCAAAGGGGAAGCACTTCAACTCTTACCTCCTCTTCCTGTGATCTTTTCTTATGAGCCATCTTGTAGAGTTTGTGTAGTTTTCTGGCATCAAATTCTGTGAATTTTGACACAAATATCCATAGGTTCCTAGGAGGACATGAACATTTTCTGTTAAGTGTTACAACAGCAGTTTAACTGCCAACAGCTTCCAAACCAACATCAAATTCCTTCTACCCTCTCTGGAAAACAGTCTCAGCTCAGGACAGGATGATCAGGAGGGCTGGAACCACATTCTTCAAAGTAAAATAAAGAGGTTTGCAGTGGTTTATGTGATTTCGCTTTGAAATCAATTTTAATAAAACCAGGACAACTTGAAGAGAAAAAATTTGCCTGGGACTGGTGATGGAAGACCACCCCTGAAAGTGTTCAAGGTTCAGGCTGACTGGAGCTCTGAGCAACCTGGTCTAGTGAACTGTGTCCCTGCCCATGGCAGGGGGTTGGAACTGGGTGATTTTTAAGGTCCCTCCCAACCCAAACCATTCTATGATTCTGTGATTCTGCAGACTGAGTGGACCAGCAACCACAAGATTTCATGGGTTAAGTAAGAGGCAAATGGCACATCTATCCACAAAAAAACCCCAACAAAAACAGCAGCCTCTGACTACCATTTCAAAATATCCTAGACCAGCTAAAGAAAACAAAAAGCTCCCTCACCTTCTCCATAGCTTGATGTGATCCTGGTCGTTGTAGGCTTTAAGGCACTCAGAGATGCGATCACCGATTTTTAGCAGGCAGTTGCGTGTGTGCTCCAGCTGTTCTTGAACTGTCAGTCCCTTGTCAGGCTTATCAAGTTGCTTCAGTGCTTTTTTTACTGGTCTCATCCTTTCCTTGCACTTGAAAGAGCAACAGAGAGGAGAAAGTGATTAATTTGGCAGAGGGCTCTACATCATTGCCCTGTTAATCGAAAAGAAGCTAATTTAGCTTTATCTAGCCATTAGGCAAGGAGAAATCAGCTATAAAATAACAAATTGTTAAACAAGCTGCAGACAATAATTAGTAGAAGATGAGATTCTCCCCACCTCCACTGTCCCTGCCTTTTAGGAGGGAACAATTTGCTTTGCAAGCAGTAATCACACATGGTCTGCCCCTGCACGGATCCTGTGGCAGGCAGGGAAGTGTATCCAAGCCTGCACATGCTGAACCAGCCACCCCAGCTGAAAGACTGCTCAATTCAATCCTGTCCAAGCCCATCTTTGGTCACTTTAATGCTTGCTTTTACCCAAACTGGCAGACATGAGATAAAAGCACCATGTTTTTCAGCCTGGGCACATCAACACTGCACACAGATAGGAAATCAGAAAGGTTTTTTGACTGCCTGCCTGGATCGTTTGTGCATCACAGAAGGAAAGTTAAAGAAAAAGACAAAAAACCCCACAGGACCTGCAGCAAATACAGATATTTGCAGTGAGAGAACTGCTTTGAAGAAGTGGTATTTCAGCCAAGGAGAATCTGCCATGACAACTTTTACTAAAAGGCAATTTTTACAACAAGCCTTGTGGGCATGTTTGCTGTGAGAGCATTTACACAGCTCCGCACCTCCTACAAGGTCACCCTCAAAACTCTCCTGCATTTCCTTGTGTGAAAGTGCTTCAGTGGCTCCTTGGCTTCTACAAGAGAGGGGATGTAAGGCTGCAGAGTGATCCATAACCCAGGGCTGCCAGCTGAGCACTGGGAAGTCACCAGCTGAAGCAGAGAGTTCTTGTGCCTGCTCTGCTGACAGGCTCCAGCTGGCAGCACTGGTGGGCAGCTCTTGTCCAGGGCTGCCCTGCCCTGCTCCCAGATCAGCCAGAGGAAACCCCTGTGGGGCACTAGGCTGAGGGTCACACCCCAACACCTAAAACACGTCCTTGGATGGCATCTGAGCAAACCTTGGCTGCCTCGCTGGGCTCTTGGCACTGCCCTCCCATTTCCCAAGGAAAATACTCACTATGCTGAATGTTTCTTGGTCCAGATCATCATCCTCATCTTCTCCAATGGGGATTGGCTCGCTCCCTGCAGTGATGTGGACAGGACCTTGTGATCTCTTCCCTTTACTTCCAGATTTGGCCTCGCCACCTTTAGGCTTTACAAGGACAAATTATACACATCACACGATGAGCCAGAATGGAGGATCCCCGGTGACCCAGCTCACAACCTCCACACCATTGTTACTGGCATTTGCTAAACCTGGGCACTGTTCCTACAACTTTCCTCCCAAAATCTCCAACTGTTGAGCTGCAATGGCTCTCTTTAGCTTTACATCATCCATGAGGGAGCAGGGAGAAGTCAGAGCCAACAGTTTGGACACAAATACGATATTCACACTCATGGGGAGAAACCAATGTTGAAGACTTGTAAGAGAGGTTAAAATAAAGAGTATCTCTCCCTTGCAAAGGATAGAGCTCAGGGTAGTCTCATGTCTACAAGGATCTGCAGCTTTATGTGATATCACTAGCTCTCAAAGCATGGCTTGTTCATGTACATTTTTACCTATATGACTTACCTGCAGTAAAAGCCATACCAAAAATCACTGGAAAGCAAACTTTCCCCTACATAGGCAACAAAACTTCTTAGTTTGCACTTATGACCTTAGTGTCAAAACACATTGGGCATGTAGCACATACCTGTTCCTTGGACAGGTACTTCAGGTCATTATTATGGAAGCTTTTACCCCCCTTCCAATTTGCACCCAGCCTCAGGGCAGTTGTTCCCAAAATTCAAGAGACATTTGAGTCTCCAGCATACCAGTGATGTTGAAACACTCATTCTGTTGAGTCCTGAACAGTGACAATGACAACTTACAGTCTTGATGGTGTGGACACTTGGGTCATTTGGGTGAGTTTAAATTAAAGGGGAATACAGACAAGGACCTGCCAACCCTGTGATAAATCACCGCTGGACAGAACTTTGATCTGAGTGCTCCAGGCTCTTTCCTTAGTATCAGCTCTGTGACCATATCCATGTCACAGGGACAGCTGTACTTTAAAGGCAGCTTGGCAAAATCTCTTCAGTTTTGGTCACATTCCATGAAGCTTTAGGACATACAGACTTTTCTACTTTTTATGGCAATTCAGAAGGGCTGAAAAAGGGATACCCCCTCACCCCACAGTGCTTCACTGGTGTCTTTTCACACAGGGCCCTTAATGAATCCTAAGTCTCACAGTTTGTCCTGCTCAGGGACTTCCCTATCATGCTGCTCCTGGAAGTACCACATACCTTCTCTTTCTTGTCTTTTGTCTTCTTTTTCTCTTTATCGCTTTCCTTTTCTTTCTTAGAGGATGTCTGTTTTTCCTTGTTCTCTTTGTTCTCTTTCTTCTTCTGTTTCTTTTTCACTGGGCTCTTGTCCAAGCCATCCTCCTAAAACATCAGTCACAGCACAAAGTTGGAGTCCCTCACCTCATGTACATTTTCTTCCATAAAACATCCTTAAAACACAGGCGACTTTTGAGGTCCATCCAGATTTACCCTCACACCTCTTTAAGCAGACATCGAGCCCTGCTCAAGCAGCTGCCATCCCCTCAAATGTGACAAAAGGGTATGAAAACCAGACCAGCCCCACTCTGACAAGCTGGCAAGCTGCAGAGCAGCCCTGCTCTCCTGTGCCAGCTGCACTCCAGAACGATCAGCCCCTGAGGTAGATACTGATCAGCACACGAACAAAAAGCCTCAGACTACGAGCCAAACCACTCAAAGACTGAACGTTTTCTAAGCAACAGCATGACCTTGGTAAACTCCAGCTTCACCACGGGCTGACGTGCCCAAAAGGAGAGGGAAACAATTCTTTCTCTCCTTTATAAGGGCAACAGGCTTTGTCCTGAGACAACCTTTCCCCTGAGTTGATATGTGGGTGTTTGTGGCCATTCTGGGATGCCCCAAATCCCTTAAAGCACTGAGCTAAAAGAATAGGTGGGAAAGGTCCTTCTTTCACACCAGTAGCTGTATGGTTGGTTTTGTGAGTGTGCCAGTCCTGTGGGAATTCACTCTTAGTGTCTCTGACTCCTGGGGGCTTTGCTGGGAATGCTTCCCAAGGAAGCACAGCCCAAGGAAACCTGGAAAAGCCACTGTTCACCTGGGCTGACTCACCTTGACTTCCCCTTCTTCTGACTGGTTGTCTGAGTGCCGAGGAGAGGAGAGTTCATTCCCATGTTCATCTTTGACTTTGGGAGCCTTGTTCTCTTTCTTCACTCGTGGTTTCCTCTTCTTCAGCTTGCCCTGGTGAAAACACAGAACAAGTCAGGGAAAGCAAACAGCTACAGCTACTTCCTGGGGACATTTCCCATCTCCTGAACATTGTGCAAACAGCTGCAGGTCTTGCAGGTTGGCAGGAAACCTGATGAGCCCAAAGCCTTCAGTAAGAGCAGTAATAAGCTTTTACCCTTCTTCTAATTTGCACCCAGATAATTAATTAGCATTTAAGTGAGAAATTCCACAAAGCAATCAGACAATAAGTCCATATTCCTTCATAGAAATAATGTCTGAGAACACAGGGTGTCTCCTGCCATCAGCCTATCACTCCCCTGAAACCCTCAGAATCAAGAGGCCATATCTCACCTCTTCCCCATCTTTCATGTTTTCTTTCTTGTCCAGATCTTTTTTCAGCAGTTTCAGTAGATAATCAACTCGGGTCTGGAGCTGTTTTCCCTGAGGTTTCTTATCTGTCTCAACCGGTAGGATCTTTGATAAAGCAGGAAAAAAATATATACTCATAGGCACAAAGCTTGACAAAAGATTTACACATTAACAGCAGCCTTTCCAGGCCCAGCAAAGGGCAGCAAATGCTGCACCTTCTGGGGGAACAAGAAGGGTCAAGACTTCCTTCCCCCTCTCAGACTGTCCCTGTCTGGCCAAAGGCAAAGCTCCTAGCAAGCAATCATCCCTCCCCTTGGAATCCTGCAGAAGTTAAAGGATCCTAAGGCTTGCTAAGCCTTGCAAGCTTGTTAAGTTCTCTTGAAGGAGAAAAAACCTTTACAAGCTATATTTGGGACCTCCAGTTGCAAAACTGAGTCCACTGGCCTTGACACCTCAGATTTGTTTGTGACAGCTTGGTCACAGCAGCCCAGTCACTCTGGTAACCTGAGACATTGCTACAGCAGGGGCACAGATGCACAATTTTTAGTGGAAAACAAGGCTGAAAGGTGACACTTTGTGGAGGAAATAGCTCAGCTTGCCAGCTAGGTTTGCTTCATACTCCACTGGAAAATGGGTGGCATGTTTCAGGCAGCTGTTTGCATTGCAAAATGCCTTTTTGAGCTCCACACATGGAGGGCTCTCAGGCAGAGCCTGATCTTTGCTAAAAGCACCAGCAGGGATGTCAGGGGAATGCTGCACGCTGGCAGCAAAGCTGGTGTGGAGATTCCCACTGCTCCTCAGCCCTGTGCTCCAGTTTCCACACTCTTTCCACCCCACTGACACGACGGATGGTGGATTATTTTTAACCCAGATCATTTCAACATGGTGCCTGTAAACTGTTCTTGTGGGAATGACTGAGGAACAGAGGAACTAGATGGAGGCTTTCCAGCTGGCTGTGCTGCCATTCCCAGTCGTGTAACCTTACCCTCAAAGCTAACACGGACCAGCCTTGACATAAGCAGTGTCAAATCTGTGAGAAATTATTTCCACTCAGAAATTCACACTCAGCTTCTTGTGAGATGCTCAAGAAAACATCAAGTCACAGCCTCTTCTGTCCTGTGCATGGAACCACACATGTCAGCACTGCCATTTTCTGCCTGCATCATTTCAGTGTGGTTCACCTGGTACTGCCCACCACACGACACAACTCTGCTTTCCATCGAGCATGCAACATTCCATGAAGGCCACTGTTTTCCTCATTATTATTGATCATGATTTTTGGAGTAGTTACAAGCATAAACATCTGTTTATGGAGTAAATGAGGCATGTTTGCTATGAGCACTGCAATGGACCCAATGGAAGCAGCGAGCAAAGCCACCTACCTTATCAGATAACTTCAGCTCTGGATCTGTTTTAATGAGCTCCCAGTTTCCATAACCATGCTCGTAAATTCCCACTAACAAGCGAGAATCCTCCTCCACTCCCCAGTCTACATCAAAATGAGCAGCTTTGACACGGCACGTCAGGCGGTACCTAAAGGCATTTCAAACACGAGCTACTTTTAATGCTGTGGAGGATAAAGCAAATCCACATATCCAGGCTATTCTCTTTCCACTACAAAATCCAAATTCCCTGAGCCTCTTTCTGCATTGCCTACTTAGCCAAACTCACTTCTTCCTTTCCTCTGGGTCCGAGGGAATGGATTTGTGCAGCATTTCAAACTCCTCTTCGTGCTGGATGATGGATTTCACATTGACTTGGACACCAGAAATCTTGATGGTAGGACCTCGTCTCTTTCCAGGTCCCTTCCCTGCCCAGCAATAAAACACAACAATTAGGGGAACTCTTACAGAAGGAAGTGTCTCTGTAAAATGGCTTCACAGACAGTGATCAAGACCTTGCCTGCAGGTCAAAAATATAAATTTTCTTTCACTAATTCACTTAGCTTTGCAATTTAAACACCTCCCAGTACCATTTTCTTAACAATACTTCTAAGTACACTGGAGCTGTTGATTCTGCAGTCTTGGTCAGCTGCAACAGGCAGAGACCCAGCAGGAAATCCATCCCTTACTCTGTATGTCCAAACAAACAGCAAAGAACAGCCAGACAAAGAGTGGGTGGTGATTCCAGCTCTGGGAATTCCTAACTGTGGACCCAGCTTTACTGGGGAGTGCACAGCACCAGCTTGATTTCCAGTCTCAGGAGCAGTTAAAATAAGATCTGCTTTGCTTTGTGGCCCAGCATTCAATAAGCTGGTCACTTCAGCCTCTCCCCACAAAAACTCATGTCCAGCAGAAGCCAACAGACCCTAGTGGCACTGTCCAGTCTCATCAGAAAGCTCAGGGGCTCCTCTCTGTGGGTGAGAGCTGCCTGGCAGAGATGGGGTGGTTTAAGTGTGCTCTTGTTCATTGCTTCTAAGTCACAATGTGGCCTCCCTGTCGAGAACGGGAATGGTTTCCTCACAAGCTCCATGGAACACTCCCAAAATCACCCTAACAGCGGCACACAACCCCCTTGCCTACCTTCTGCAGGATTTTCCTTCAGCTGCTCCTCATATTCCTGCATTGCTGACACACAGCTGTTGTGGATGAGCTCCCCTAAGCGCTTCAGGTCAGCCACAGACTTATCCACCAGCTCAGCATCCCGGGCAATGCACTCCAGCCTGGGGAACAGGGAGAGTTTTGTGGGTGATACAGCAGTTCTTCCCTCAATCATTTCCTATTCAATTGTGTCACAGCTCAGTGCTGTACAAATGTGAATGCATGAAACATGCATGAGTTGAGTTAGTGCAGGAAGTAACTCAGGTTTTTGTCTTTTTTTTTTTTCTTTTTTTTTTGGTCTAACAGCTGCAGTGCAGATGTAGAAAAGCTGATTCAATCATGTGGATTTTTTAGTACCAAAGCAAAGGTGAGAACTGTCTCTCTTAGGGATAACAGGGACCCTCTGTGACTGTCCAGTATTTCCTCAGGCTTTTCCAGTGCCACATTAGCTCCATTTGATGGTCCAAAGCTGCCATCTGCTGTCCCTTTTGCCTGCCTGAAGTCAGGAACATCAAGACTCGCACGCAAGCCTTGTGTTTCATACCAGGAGAGTAGAACCAGCTGAAAAAGCACTGAATTTCTCCTATAATACATTTAGGGAACTCTGCCTCAGCCCTGAGACCTTCCCAGAGCCAGCACAGGGCCAGGGCTCTGCAGATCCACGTTTAAGGATGGTGCCTCTCTTTGTTTCCCTTCAGGAGGGATAGAGCATGGAGAGATGCTCCAAATTCAGTCCTGAGGCTAACGTGCATAGAGAAGCTTGGCAAGTGTTTTGGGCAGCATTTGTTGTTCTGACAGCTGCTCCCTCTCCTTTCTGGGCAGAGTGGGAATGCCCCAAGGGCAGGACTGTGCCAGCAGGACCCTGCTGTGTCACAGCTCAGCACCACGACTGCTCCAGCTGGTTTTTAGCCAGCGTTCATCAGTGCCCATCAGCAGAGACACCAGGGAGTTACAGCAGTGCCTGGGGTCTGATGGCAGGACAGCAAGGCTTGTGCTGCCTGTGGAGGTTGTGTCACACACCCAGAGCAGTGTGTGCCTGCCTGGGCTCACAATGTGCCTCCATGACTCCCCTCTGGAGCAGGGCCAGCTTGGGACTCACCGTTCAAGAGGCAATCCAAACTTCTTGTAAGCCTTGATAAACCTAAGGAGAAAAAAACCCAAAAATATCCTAAACCAGCTGCCATAAAAAATAGGTCCAATATCACAAATATGCTTGAATATATTAATTACAGCCTGTCACATTATCAGCCTTGCATTCCCCACTGATCAGCTCAGCATCCCTCAACACTGGGAAGTCTCATCCATTAGCCCCCACAAAGAGTTTTGTGACCTTGGCTGAAGAAGAACCCAACATTATTATGAATGTTGAGTGTCTGACAGATGAGGGAAAATAAAAGGATAGTGGTAACTGCAGGGCGAAAAAAAAATAGAAGGATTGGCTCACACCATGTTGGTAATTATTAACTTAATTTTTCCAGGAAGAAAAGAGGCATTAAATCAATGTCATTAGTAATTTTAAAGCTTGGGCTGTAAATGTAGCAACCCATCACAGAAGAGCCAAATGTGGCTCAATCCATCACAGAGGTTTGTAGATGAGGTTTGCTATTTATTTTCATGTCTTATTTTTATTGTGAAAATCCCTGCTGTGGCTAACACATCTTTAGAGCAAGAGTTGCTGCAATCAAACATTGCCTTGAGCTGGGAGTAGACACAATGGCTACAACAACAGGTTATTTTTTTAATTAATTAATTTTCTGCCTTCTTATTTTCATTTTGTATTCTTTCAGCCCCTTTCTGCTACATCACAATAATCTAAATGGCTGTTATATTGCATATGGAGCATGTCCTTCCTGCTCCATGGTTTCAAGATGGTATGGGGCACTTATCACAGCCCAAAAACTCTGTTATCTGCTGCTTAAAAATACACCAGCTCAGAGACAGAGTTAAGGAAAACTCGTAACTCCCTCTCTTCCATCTTTGGCTGGACATCTGGGTAGAGCTGTAAGACAAAGATCTCTGGAAAAGACTCAAGAATTAGAAGATAGGAGAAGAAAACAACGTTCTGAAATTCAGTCCCCAGCTGACATCAGAGACTGACACACTCGGATCAACAGGACCAGTGCTTCTCATGAGGGCATTTTGCCAGAGTCTGCTTTTCACTGAGAGCTTAAATCAGCAGGATGACTGCCAGAAAAATGTCAGGAAGGCCAGAGCCCTTGGCTTCTCCAGCTCTGCAGCTCATGGCACCTAAGACCTCACATGTTATACAGCATTAGCTCCATCCACTTGGCCCACAAAGGGCAGTTACAGCATGAATTAATTTTAGGAAGGTACCAAGCTTTACTGTAGCCTGACTAAAGACAATCCAGTCCATTCTGCACTGATCTGAATGTTAAGGTCATCAGCTGGGATCAAACTGAATTATATAAAGGTGCAGAAGCTGTGCCGGTGAACCAGCTCTAACACAGACATGCTTACAGGTGAGCACATCCTGGATTAATGTGGGATTTTCTCCACCTGCATGGGATTTCTATATTTGTCTTCTGGACCATCTCTTGTGCCCAGCACTGACCTCCTGATTTCAGCATCAGTAAATCCTTCCACAGTGTCTTTTCTAACGCTCCGAGGGCGTCCCCTGCGCTTGGGTCTCTTCTCGTCGTCGGTATCGTCAGTCTCGCTTTCTGACCCCGATGATCTCTGCAGCCTTCTCTTGGTCTCTGCATCGGATTCACTGTCATTTGTCTGAGCCTGCACGTACCAGAGAACCAGCAGGACAGTGAACAACTGCTCATCTAATCAGCTAACAACCTCTTTGTCCCTCAGCTAACAACCTCTTTGTCCCTCCGTGCGCTGGCACTATTTAATGGACTGTACAACACCAGAGCATCCATTCCTGAAGATGCAGGAGCCCAAGTGACCAGCCCAAAGAGGCTGCACACCCTTGCAGCTCCCAGCTGGATGAGGTTGTGGTGGTCATCCTCCTTTTGCAATTGCATTTTGATCTACTTAGAGATGTTAAAATATTGATTTCCATGGGTTTGTGCCACAATCCCTTAGACTATTTTGAAATCCAGGACACCTCAAAAATTAATCTGGATTCATCCAACATGAATTATCCTTCTCTGTGTTTTTCACATCAATGTCTTTCTCCAGCTCACCCCATAGAACAGTTCTAACCCCTTAAAGTCCCACGTCCTAGCAGAGCATCATTGCACAGACAGTTTCTTTTGGATTGGGGTAGATCCCATTACATAAAGAAGAACTTGGGAAGACACCATCTCTTTTGCTCCTCAGGATCCAGATTTAGGCAAGAGCCACCCAGGGAGCAAGAGAGCCCAAGGAAAAGATACAGCCAAAAAATGGCAAAATTTGCAGCAAAATCCAATGCACTTTATGGTCACTACAGATTCTTTTGATTTTGTCTGCTAAGGTGAGATGAGTTGCACCAAGTTCAGTCTGGGCCCTCAGGCTGCATCCCAGACCACTGACCCAATGCACAGTGCCAACAAGAGGTCACTGTGCTACCTCTGCTTTATTCCCAACCAACTTTGGAGGAGGGAAAGATGCTCACATGGCAAGGAGGCTTCCCCTGAGCATTCTCTTTGGCAGCTCCCTCCTCCAGCCCCTCATCCCTTCAAGATGGGTTGTACCTTTTTCGTTGAGCTCCGGATTCGAGGCAGCATGTAGATTTCCTCCAATTCTTTCTGCCTTTCTTCCTCCTCCACCTTTTTCCTCTGCTCTTCTGGAATGATATCATCCCAGTCCTTCTGGGACCGCTCATCCAGCTCTGTCTCTTCCTCCTCCATGGTTGCAAAGTTGGCAACCTTTTACAAGCAAAGAAGAAGTTTCAGCAATTCCCTCCCCTGGCAGGAACACCCCAGAGCTGTCTGCTAAGCCTCAACTCCTTCTCCATAGGAATTCTGCCAACACTTCCATAACTACTCCATAACTGATCCCTATGCCACTACATTCCTGGCTCCTTGCCATGTCTTTGGACTAACAGCTTTTGAGGAAGTACGTGCAGTTTAAGAAGTACTGCTGAGTATTTGTAAATTATTGGGTTTGTTTCCAAATTTGGTAAATTCTGCATTTTATTCACAGCCTTCAAAACCACTTTCCTGAAATTAAATTAATACCTACCTCAGGGTGGGGTGGAAATGGATGATCTTTAAGTTCCCTTGCAACTCAAACCATTCTGAGATCTCTCCGAGGTGCTGCTGCCTGTTACTGACCTCACCTCCATGGCAGGGTGTGTGGGGAGCCACATTCCCACACCCCAGTACAGAGCCTGGGGTCCATACCTTGAACTGGGAGAGCAGCTCGTCGGTGGCACTGGTGGACACCTCATTCTCCCGTGTTTCAGCCAGACGCAGGATCTCATCGATGTCCATCTCCTGCCAGTCAGGGAGAAGGAGGGATAAAGCAGAGGGTGCCAGGCACAGCAGGAAGTAAGAGGCTTTGAGAACAGGCTTGTGTGCTGATATGAGCTAAATAAAGTGCAAATATCTGCAGGGTGCCATCCCAGAGGGCAGGGATGAATTATCTCCAGTGGTACCACAAAGTACACATAAGGTGACAGAACAGAAGGAAAGGACCATCAAGGCTGAACAGTGGGGAAAATTTCCAGGCAGTGAGATGTATGAACTGTAGACTGTCTCCCTGGGGAGAAGCTCTGCTGCTTGAGAGAATTGCTCTCTGCATTAAGAGAATTGGTCAAAACACTCAATGCTAAACTGTCAAGCAATGTCGCACTGAGGCAGGAGAGAGCAACCTGTTCACTGCACTGTGCTGACTCCTGCCTCGCTCAGAACCACCAAAAAAGGGTGCTGAGCAAGTGCTCAGAAGAGGCAGGGAGAGGAGCCTTCAGCAGGCTGTGCTGTCACTAGCTAATAATCCTCAGAAGGCAAGGGACTCCCTTGGTGACCATTACTATTTAATCCCTAACAACAAAGCTCTCCTCAACCCCTGATCCACCAATCCCAGACTTTGCCTCCAGCTTCTCCAGACTCCCACATGTCCTGTTCACCAACTTGCTCTTATGCACAGGGCAGGAACAAAGCAGGAACAACCACACAAAGTCCTTCTTGCAGACCTGGAGAGCACTACAAACTGCTATGTGATTTCAAATTCAAACTACCTGAGGCTCTGACTCTTCCCCTTCAAGCTCCTTGAAAAGATCTTCAGCTCCAAACTTCAAAATAGCTGTCAGCTCCTCTTTGTTGAAGGGATTTGAGCTGCAAGAAGAAAAGAAGGAAAAGGTGTTTTGAGCTGTTCAGACAGAACTGCTACAGCACAAAACCATACCAAAGTTTTTCCTAATTGAAGCAAGGAGTAAGTTTTCTACCGGGCACTATAAAAAGCTTTGTTATTAATCTCTTTCCTGCTCTAGCACAGACAAAGACTGCAGTGGGAACCACCTCCATCTACTGGGGGAAATGAAGAGAATCTGAGGTCACTGCCAAAATGCAGCTGTTCCACAGCCAGGTTCCCTCAGACCAGGATGATCTGTGGCTGGAAGACAGAAGCAAAAACTAATTTTAAATTTCTGATCATCTTTATTCTATGTATCCAAATTAATGGCTGCAGAAGCCACATCAGTGGAAGCTGCCATTATTTATTAGCTTTCTTCCCTGTACCCTGTCAAATAAATACTGGGAAATGCCAGCAGGGGAAGCTGGTTATGCCACGTGTTCCAGACATTTCTGCCTCCTGACACAGGCACGTACTTGGATCTCCCAGAGTTGTTGTCCAGAACAGTCCGGCCAGTGGTGTCCATACGCTGGATAACCAAATGATCCAGCACCATTTTCTTCTTGGCTCTTTCAATGATCTCCTCCTCCACTGTCCCCTTTGTGACCAGGCGGTAAATATTCACCTGAGAGGCAAAAAGAGACCACAGCTACTTCCTGGACAGGGTCTGCTGATGCAGCAATGCATCCCTCAGCTGTTTTCACTGGGCTGCTGACATTGTCTCTTCATGTACAGATGTGCTTTTTCAGAGGAAAAACAAGCACATTCTCTCTGTATCTTAGGAGATCCAGTTAAAATCAGGATGGTAAACACAGATCCTGTAGTGTGCCTAAGCACAGAGCAAAAATCTTCTGAAACAATCACTCTAAATTCAAACTAGCACCAAACTAGCTTTTCACATATCTAATAACCCCTAGTAAAGGTGGATGCTCTACTCTTAAAGTTTTTCAAGGCAAGAAAGAACAGAGTCCTCTAGGACTAGGCTGAGAAGTGCAATGCCATGGGTTGGGCTCTGGGTATGTTCAAAACCAACAGAAAGACTTGGCACCTGGCAAATCTGGGCTGGTTTTTGTTTCCTACTTTTTAAATTAGATTCCCTTGGGCAGCACTCCCTGGAGCAAGGACTGGGACAAAAAGCCCATGTTTTCAGAAGCTTTGGTGAGGTGAGAGGATGTTTAGATGCACACACTGAAGCCACAGTGAAAACAACCCAGGCAGCTCTTCTGACCTGCTTCTTTTGTCCAATCCGATGAGCTCGGGCTTGAGCCTGAAGATCATTTTGGGGGTTCCAGTCCGAGTCAAAGATAACAACAGTATCAGCAGAGGCCAAATTAATTCCCAACCCTCCAGCTCTTGTTGACAACAAGAAACAAAAGTCCTGGGAAGGAAAAAATAAAAAGCATCCATGAGTTAACCAGCTTGTAACTGTGGGCATAAAATAGCAGTGGTGACTCAAAAGCTGTAAAAGGGAAGGCTCTGCTGCACTCATGCTTCTTAAAGCAGAAAAAGGATTTCCTTCCCATGGCCCCATTCATGCAGGCTGAGCAGCACCAGTCTTTATGCCCAGACCCAGGGTGAGGCAGTGCTGGCCCAGGTGAAGGGTGTGCTACTCCAGGCATGAATCAATATGGGAGAGCAACACAAGCAGCTCAAGGCAAGGGCACCTTGGAGTCACTTCTGAAGGTCAGACCACATTGCTCACCAGACTCCTGCAAAGGCAGCAGGCAAACTCCTGCTTTTTGCTGCCTGGATCTGTTAGGAGTGAGATCAGCAATGAACAGACTGTGCCAGGTTAGAGCTAAGATGCCTGAGCCCCCATGTCCTCAGGACAGGGAAAAGGGCAGGTTCTATGGGCGTTCTTGCTCCTTCCCCCCTCACACTTCCTTTTGTTAACTATCCTACAACCACCATCTCTCTCAGCTCCTGTGTGAGCCAAGAATCCTGCTCCAGCCCAGGCTTCTGGAGTGAGGAAAGGTATTTCTCACAGCTGGGGTGACTGACACAAAAACAAGTGTCTTGCACCAGTCACTGTGAGTCAGCAAGCCCAGATGGGAGGTTTCAGATGCCCTCTCCTATTACACTGGAGACTTTCACCTCCAGCACTGGACTCCACTCCCTGCCAACACTTAAAATCCTTCTTTTGCCTCTGTCATTTTATATTCAAAACCAGCTTCAGACTGGAATCACTCAGCAACTATCTCATTCTCCAGACCAGTAGGGAGAGAAGTGCTAAATTTTGGCTCTTGCCAGCCTCTTCAGAACTTTCTGGAAATGTGACTTGCCGCCCTGTTCCTTGGATGTGAGATATTTCAAATAAGCAATATGGCTGGCTGCACAACCTGCCACATCCGTGTCTTTAGAAGCAGCTGGGGTCCTGTGAAAAGAACTGAACTGAACTAATCCCCTGTGTCAGTCACAACCTGTGGCTCAGCCACGAACCCTCAGCCCAGGACCGCGGTACCTCGGAGCCGTCGGCGTTGAAGTGATCCAGCGCCTGCTTTCGGATCTCCCCCTTGATCGAGCCGTCCAAGCGCTGCAAAAACCAACACCAGTGGTCAAAGAGAGAAGGTAAAGGAGCCCTGAGGCACTGCTGCACCCAAGTGCTGTCAGCCCTACTGTTGTCAGCCCCCCTTTGCTGCCTGCAGTGTTTAATTGTTAAAAATAGCCACCAATTAAAAATAACTGCGCTGCCTCAGCTGTGTCACAAGGGCTGGGGGATGCTCAGGAGCAGGCACGCAGCGGGTGACACCAAGCTCCCGTTACAGCCAGGCTCTGTGCTCACTGTCCTCAGGCTTTGTCACACGGCACAGCCCAAAGCAGGGGCCTGGCAGAGGAGCTTTGCAGAGATGGGGTCACATCTCTGCTCCATCCCAGTTCCTTCCAGTAAGTGCCACCCGTAATCCCAGCCTCCAGCCTCTGGGGAACCCAGTGACTCCCACTGCTCAAGCTCCCTCCACTTTTTCCCACACTTTCAAGGGGATCCCGCTGTTTTCCATGCTGATGTTTCTCACCTGGAAAGGGTAGTGTTTGATAGTCAGGTACTCTGCCAAGATGTCCAGCATCCTCACCATCTGGGAGAAGATCAGCACTCTGTTGCCTCTCTCCCGCAGCCTGGTCAGCAGCTTGTCCAAGAGAATCAGCTTTCCACTGCTCCTGATCAAAGACTGAAGAAATAACCATCATTTCCAATCTTACCCTTATGTACATCACACAGAGACCTGCACAGACCTGCTCCTTTCGGGGTCATTCATCTCTGGTACATCTCTAATCTAATCATCTGGATTTACACAGCAGAGCCCACACACACAATGAATCACACAAGACACTACACTGATGCTACACTGCTACACTGCCCACAACTCCTGCTCTAGAAGACCATAAAATATTGCCTACAGTAGATGTGGAGGGCTGGGGGTTCAAATGGCTTAGCTGTGAGAACTATTTTTGCAGAAGAAGCCACAGAAGATAAAGCTTCACCAGATACTATTTTGTTGGGAAGACAAAAGAATGAAATTTAAGGAAAAGAGGTGGTGACCAAGGACACCACTCACCTGCAGGGTCTCAAGGCCATTCTCTCTCTCATTTTCCTCGGGAGGTTTGATAAGGTAGCAATGGTTGCAGCACTTTTTCAATTCCATTACAATATTCAGGAAACCAGATGTGCTTCCCCTTGTTCCCTTTGAAAGAGCTTTGTAGTTTCTTGTCAAAATCCACCTGCAGGCAGGAAAATTAAAGTCTAGATCATTATTCGGTGCAGAGCGGAGCCTTGGAGGAACAAAACCTTCAGGAACAGCCCATTCAGGCATCAGTCTACTTCCCTCCCTCCATCTCTCCTCACTTCTCTGACAGGATGCTCTTTCCTCTCGAAAAACCCTGACCTGACTTTCCTATTAATATCATCACTGTTTAATATTGAACAGCATCCCAACTTTGTGCATATTGTCACTCCCCCAGTGACATAACCTCTATCTTGCAAAACTGACCAGTTGAACAGTATCACTCTCCATCTTGCATAAGGAAAGATATCAACTCCCCTACCTCATATTCCTGCTGGGAAGCTCCCAGTACTACAGGTGATGGTGTCTCATTGCACTCTGAAGGCCACAGTATGCACAGAATACTGGAACACATTGCCAAGGCCCACAGAAAGATGTGCCCATTTCTACTGGATCTCCCAGTAACTCATTCAGTGACTCACTTGTAGTACTGCTTCTGCAGAGCAGACATTTCCACCCGGAGGATCTGCTCCACTTTGGCTGGCAAAGATTTCTCCACATCCTTCTTCACTCTGCGCAGCAGGAACGGCTCCAGGACTTTGTGAAGGCTCTGGTAGCCATTCTCTCTGCCTTTCCCGTGATCCTCCTCAAAATCCTCCCAGAACTCAAACCTGGCAACACAAAGGAGGAGAAGGGAGGTGTCAGAATACCTCTTGTCTTAGGGCACCAAACAGCATCTGTTGGATACACTCCTGCTGCACCCAAGACAGGAGACCAGCAGTTTAATGGAAATACAGTGGAAAATAACAGATTCACTCTGCTCTGGTTAACTGAAGGGATTGCTGGCAAAGCTAGAAGATCTCTGGGCTTAGACACCTTCCTAACATCTTATATTTGAGCTCCACACTCAGGAGGTGTGTGTGGAGGACCTCTGCACTCCCAGGACCCAAAATCCCAAGATTCCCATTATTTCATTCTGTTGGCATTTACCTGGCAGCAGTTTCTGAACTTTCCACGGTGCCTCCCCCAGGCACAGCTTTGACAATTGGATTGTTTTACCCTGCTCTGAAGGCTCTTTTGGGATTGTTGCTTCCTCTGACAGCTCCTTTGAAATGTGGAGATCCGCTCTCCTCCACTTGGGAAACCTCAGGCCTCTCCTTCACTCTTTCTGTGATCCAACAAAAATAATCTGGGGGAGACAGCTCTTTTTGCATCATTTCAGTGAGCTTTAGGGCATACCTGCCTTAACCTTAGAGATGCCCATAGCTCATTTTATTGTAAAGGAAACAAAACATTTGTTACACTGTGGACACAATCAGCCAGACAACACCCCCAGAGCTGCCACGAAATGGTTGGCAGAGGTGCCTGAACCACAGTGCACTGGAAACCTCAGAAATGGCTGAACTGATTGCTTAAAACAAGTTTAGCTTTTTAGAGATGGCTGGAAGACAGCAGACAGATTTGAAAGGCATGTATCAGGTTTCCCCATTCAGTTTGCTGCCAGAAATACTCCTCGTGTTAGTTATTTAACCTTTGATTTTCCCCACTAATGTCTGTTCTCCTATCATTGCTGTCACACCACTGAGTTTAATTCAGGGATTTCTGCCATTCTGTACTCCCTTGAGCCTATTTAACCGACAGGAATGGAACAGAACCTTCCTTGGAAGGCCTGAAAGGAGACTCACTTCTCTGGCATGATGAAGTGCAGCAGGGACCAGAGCTCCTTGAGTGAGTTTTGAAGCGGGGTGCCAGTGATCAGCAGCCTGTGGTTGGACTTGAAATCAATCAAGGTTTTGTACAGCAAGGAGTCGTCATTCTTCAACCGATGGGCTTCGTCCACGCCGAGAAAGGCCCAGTTAATGCTTCCCAAAACAGTCTGGAGGAAGAGAAGGAGAAAACACAGGCACTGAGGAGATGCTGGGTCAGACAGGCACATATGTGTCTCTCCAAGGCAGGAAACCCTGCAGTATATGCTGCCCTGGGTGTCCTGACCCAGCCCTGCAGCTGCACGCTCGCTGTATTTTCTTGCTAACAAAATTTGGGGACCAGGGTGTCTTTCCAGAAAGGAAAAGGTGAAAATTAGCCATGCTGTATCTCAATAGGCCCACAGCAATTACACCTATCCTAATCCTCCTTTGATTTACCCAGAAAGCAGAGTCCTTCCCCAGCTCTTTATTCCCCCCTTGGAACCCTGGGCAGCACTAGTCCCACTGGAGCAAGAACAGGAGACCAGATGAACAAGCCTAAAAAGTTCAGGTAATTCAAGAGGTTTTTTTTTTTTTTTGTTTGGTTTTTTTGGGGTTTTTTTGTTTTGTTTTTTTTTTAAGCCTTCACTTTTCTGCTAGGACTCTGACTTGGCTGATGAATATTTCCTAAGCAGACAGATTTCTTGTAGATGTAAAAATGTAAGTACTGTTAACACTGTGGCCAGAGGTTCAGTGTAATGTTTTGTCCTCTTAACAAGCCTAAATTAAACCAGGTTAAAATGCAGGTACTGCTGGATCCTGCCAGATGTCTTACATGTCAAAAGAATAGCATAATTGTGCAGTACAAGAGTGAAGACACTGCAAAATGTGTCCCACATTCCCACATGTGCTTGCATTACTGGGAAGGAAAAGCAAATAGTGGCTATAGTTGTCCATCACCACAGAGGGAAGAGGTGAAACCCACTAGCTGAGAACTGGCTTTCTCCTTTGAAAATGAGAAAAAGTCTAAATAAAAAGATTCGTGGAGTAATGACTCACCTTATCCTTCAGGAGGATCTCGTAAGTTGTGATAAGTGCATTGAATTTCAATCTTTTAGACTGAGAATGGATCCATTCATATTCACGTATCTGTGAGGGGAGACAAAAGTTACCTTGAACACATACTATCAAAAGGAAAGAGCTAACAATTGTTATTTTAGTGTGGCTGTAAGCCAGACACTCCAACCAAGTGCAAACCCCTGTTGTTCCAAGGTGCCATTTGATGAGCTCGAGGTGCCCAAGAAACAATTTGTTTTAGTGCACACATGGTTTGACTGCCCTTGCACAGGTAATAAAATAAGGTTAACTTGCTGTTGTGACTTTAATGAACACATCACCCCACTGCAGACACCACTGGAGTCCCAACACTTGTGTGTCCCATTGTCTGAACAGTCCCAAACACTTTTACTCTGCATGCTTCACTCCAGACTCTGAGAGAAGCCAGTGCTCCTGCACTCACTCCAAGAGGCAAAATAAAGCAGAAAACTCCCTGCAGCAGGGAGTTGCACCCACACACTCATCTCCAGCTGCCTGCAGTGCTGCCAGCACTATCCAGGAGCTCTCCAGCTGACTGTGTCACACACATCACACACAAGCTGCTGCTTTGCACCCAGCACTTCTCCCTGAGCCCTCACCCTTTGCTCTCTGATTACACACCATGTTCCTGCTCATGAGGTCTCCAATGTAAACCACCACGTTTATCTCGGGTGCCCACACTTCAAACTCCCTCTGCCAGGAGGTGAGGGTGGACAGGGGCACGACCACCAGGAAAGGGCCATACAGCTGGTGCTGATGGAACAGGTAGGACAGGAATGATATTGTCTGAATGGTCTTGCCCAGTCCCATTTCATCAGCCAGGATCACGCTGTTGTTCCTGAGAAAGAGGAGAACAAACAAAAAAAGTGCTGTCTGAGTGCATGTTTCTGCCACTGCTGATTGACTGTGCTCCACATGAACAGCAATCCACGACAAGGACAGAGAGGGGCAGTGCAAAAACAGTTATTCGAACACTTCCAAGTGAATCCCAGAGACAGCCAGACTGAACATGGCACAATAATGTGCAAAACTGAACTATGATGACTCTAAACTGAGGAAAATAGGCAAAGGCAGAGAGGGGAACCAGTGGCCTAATTTTAGAAGGACATCTCTCAAATACTTCAATGAGTATATAAGCACACTAAGCCAGAAACCATTTTTCCCATTAAGTCAATGGAAATCTAGGGTTTATATGTACCAGGCTCAGCCAAATCCACCACGTGAACAGGCCCAGACAGGGAAAATGCTTTTTGTTTTCACACAAGGTTTTTTAAGTTCATGCTTTAGGTAGCTCCTGCTTGCAGTGTCTGCAATGCAGCTGGGCATGGTAACATTTGAAATCCTCCGAGCTGCAGAAGGAGGGTGGGTAAAGACCTCACTTGAAAAGGAGATGTGCCAAATCCTTCAGGGACAAAAAAGGCACAGGAGAACATGACAGGCTGTGCACATACTTGCACCAGGAGTGAGCGAGCCAGTTGAGGCCCTCCAGCTGGTAATCCCGCAGCTCCAGGTTCTCCCCGCCGATGTACGAGGGCTGCTTCTTCAAGGCAACAAACCTCGGCCTCTGCTTCAACACCTGGAAGAGATGCTGCCATAAGTCCACTGAAGAGAAAGAACTCTGAAAGGCTGAAAATTCAGCAAAGAAATCTATGAATTCAGCAAAGAGTGTGTATCTCTTCACTGGTTCAAGTGAAGAGAACTTCACATCCATCTACATTTCCTAGCCTGTGCTTGTGTCTGCATTTCTTGTGATCTGCCTGCTGCCCTGTGGTTTATGATCAGGGCTCTGAGTCCCCCAGGAGTGTAGTAAGCTGCACAAAATACATAGGAGTCAGAAAAAGCTCCACTTCTTTCTTTGTCCTCTTTTGGTTTTTCTCCCATTATTTCTGTCCCTCTCCTTCATTGTATCAGCATCTTGCAGGCTTCCTATTTTCCCAGGTGTGCTGTTTTTTCATCCAAATGATATTAAAACTGCTGCAGCTCCTTTTGAGGAGGAAGCATTTTGCAAGGATTAATTAAGCCTCCCACTCCCCAGGGGGACATAACGTTCTCACTGTGCACAGAGTAAATGAAACTCAAAGGGGTTCACATCTCTGCTTGAAGTACAATACAAGAACAGCAAACAACACTTCAAACGCAGGTGGGAGGATGGGAAAACGTTCTCTGACATTTATCCTGACAAAACTTCATGTTCCCTCTGCTTGCATCTTCCCCCAGCCTGGTGGAACCCAGCAAAGGAGAGAAGCCAGCAAACCTTGCAGTCACGGATGGGAATTGTCTTGGAGTTGTTCCTGCTGTTGAAGCTGTCAATGCAGTGCTGAAATTTCTTGCTGATCAGAGCCTCATCCTCCCAGCTGCACTCAGCATAGGGCAGCCCCATCCACTTGCACAGGTATTCAGGGTCATTTGAGGATGATTTGCGACTGTTTGCTGTAAAATATGCAAAAAAGCCCAAATCTCAGCACCTGTAGCTGAGCAGCTGAACCACAAGCATGGTTCACAGGCTGAACTGCCCAGACAGCCACAAAACAGGTCTTGGCTCAGAGCAAAAGTGTAGAGAGACCAAAAAAAAATGTGCCTTTACCTGGGAAATCGGAATGTCCCGTGGCAGACTTGCTGGTCTTCACAGCTGTGTTTGGAGAGAGAAGGGAAGGGAGGGTTGGAATGCTGGCAGCCAGCAGAGGGAGCAGGGCAGGCCATCACTGCCTCACACCCACGTTTTTACAGGAATTGGATTGGAAATAGGTTACACAGCGCTCCAAGCCAATTCCCAAAGCAGCTGGGTGCTGGCACCTCTGACTGACATGACTGTGATATTACAAAAGTGCTCAGTAAGTTATGGTTTTATATTTATTAATTAATCATGGAAATCTCGCCCCTGAGCTGCCTTGCAGCCTAACCACATCCTCAACCACACATGGAAAGTGGACCTCACAAATGCCAGGCCCATGCTGCTGCTTTGGAAACAAATATCTTGCATCCAATGGGTTGAAGACAAAGAAATTCACTAGCAACAATTTCAGCAACCTGTTGGAAACCAGTGTGTCATCCCATACCCCAGGCAAGGAGAGTCACTGCTTTGTATTGCTTGTAAATACAAATCTGTAAACCAGGATTTCTACTGTCCAAATTCCTAAGTTTCACACAATGAAATATAGTAAACACTACGTGGTTTTCTTCAGGGATACTGGAGGACAGGGAAGAAGAGAGAGCTGCGCACTCATTCTGCTGTCACATGGAATAAAGTTCCCATTCCTACTTCACATCTTTACCAAAGTCTTGGCTCCACTTACCTATTACCCTCTCCACTATTTGATACTGTTTGTTTAGCTCTGAAGCCAGCTCTTGTTGGCAGTTGAAATATTCTACATCTTCAGGTGATACCTTGCCCAGCCTAGATGCAAAATAATTCAAAACAAAACAAAACAAAAAAACACTATAATGCTTCTGTCATAGTGCTCATGGATCTTGCATATAGAAAATCTACTTTCATATATGGTTCTGTCATTCAAACAAGTCACAGGGGCAAATTACTGTTATATGATGTGTTTCTTAAATTTCCTAAAATTGTAAATTATTGCTGAGAAGCAAATATCATAGATGGTCAGATTGTGTCCCTGTTAAATGCTGCCTTATTCTGATGCAAGAATCAGTCTCAAAACAGGGACCAAATAGAGATGGAAGCTGCTACTCCAGCTTTAGCACTTTGGAAAGACACTGTAGCTCCCCTTATAGCTCCTGGGAAGCTGAACATAAACTGATGCAAAAAACTTGCACACAGAGAAGCCCATAATTAACAAGAATTAAAAACTCTGCAATCCCTCACAGCAGCTCCTGGGCCAGGTGAGTCTGTGCACCATTTATTGGTTGTCAGCTTTCCCAGTTCTTAAGCCTAAGAAGTGGCAATAGTGTGGATTTCATGCTTTGTCCTCTCCATTTTCCAGCCATCCACACCACAGATATAATTTCTGTGTGGCAGGATGTTCCTCAAAAGGCAAAGAGTAACCAGAGTACACATGAAACACACTTTGTAAGAAGAAATCAAACATTTTCAGTCACTGGCTAAAACCAATTTGCCCAAGGCCAAATCACTGCTTGAAGTGAAGCCTACCATTGCTTGATCTCCTCCTCTTTTTTCTTGAAGTTTTCTAGCTTTTTCAGGCCCTTCACTTTCTGCTGCTGCAAGGACTCCTCGCTCTCCCACGTGCTGTGGATGTATGACCAGCCCTTCCATTTGATCAGGTACTGAACCTCCCCCTCGTCCTTCTCGGGGTCGAAGTCGGCGCTGGGGTTGCCGTTGGCCTCGGTCACGTACACTGTGGTGGAAGCTCCAATGGCTGCAGGAAAAACATCACAGGAACCCTCCTTAACCCACCACTGACATCCACTGCATTACAGCAGAAAGTTACTCTTCTAATACATCTTTTGTGGGAGCACAAAGAACATCCAAAAGATTCTGCAAACCTTTAAGGCAGGCACACAGAAGTTCTCCATGCAACAGAATCTTTTTAAATCTGTCATAAGTGGCTTTAAGTATAATTCAAAGGCCTCTTGAAAGTGTCCACAACCATTCAGTTTTACAAAAATGCTTTTGTAAGGCTTTGAGAAGAAAACATTGGCTTTACTTTCATTATGGCTTTGTCCATTGAGGCTATGAAAACCGACTCTCCTAGATCTGTTTCATATTTCAAAGCAGAGAAAAGCAGGAATTGCAGAACAATGGCTGCGTCTTTAAAACGTGCACAGGCTAAATGAAAGCTGCTGAGCACATAAACTCTAGAGATTTTTAGGATTTTAAATATTATATGTTACAAAAGCTCTTACATATTACAAGATGTAAATAAGAGGCATGCAGGGAAAGATGAAAAGCACTGAAAACCTTGGCCGCACTTTAAAGCTGCAAAAGCATTGCACCAGTTCAAGAGAAATAAAGGCTTCTTCCAGAGCCACGCACCTCCCTTTTTTCCAAGCCTGATGTCCAAGACTTTCTCAATAGTTTCACTGTTGTCTTGTTGTTCATCAGCTCCTTCCCCAGTCATCTCTATCAGGTCATCAGAATCCGTCTCAAAATCATCATCCTCTTTGTAGCTGAGTAAGATCAAAACCAAACTGATATAAAACCCTTGACTCTTCCCACCAACCAAGAATGGCTCAGACTGGAGCACCTTCTCCAGCATTTGTGCTGTGGTTCAGTGCATGTTCAACACACACATATTTTAACTCATCCATGCAGTATTTTTCCCCAAAACACTCAGATAGCTACACTTTACCAGACTAATCCTCTATTTTATTTTGCCCATATAGTTTTTCTGACCATGGCCAACATCAGATGATTCATAAGGTGGAACAATCCCTGCAGCAGAGGCAAGGCCATACCAGAGAAAGTCTCCACTACTGAGGGAAGGATTATTCTGTGGGGGTTGCAGAGCATCAAAAGGCTGCATGGGTGCCTAGGAACTACACTTCTCATCTTTGGTGAATGTTTAACCACCACAAAATATCATTTGGATGGCTCTTTGCAAGTGCCTTATTGGGACTGCCTGAAAGTTGAGATGGTACATTGGGGAATGGATAAAGCTTTACTCCACCCTGGCTCAACACACTGTCCCAAGGCACTACCTGCCAGTCACTCTCAAACAATTGGTCCAGTCCAGCACAGCTGCTCCCTTTTGCTCATTTTCATATATTATTTGCAATGATTAATCTCATCTGAGAGTGCTTTAGAAATACTATGCAAACCTCCTGACATTTCTCTTAGGAGGGACTGGTAAACATTCCCTCCTTCACAGATGGCAAAATGAGGTAAACCCCAGATGTGCCCAGCAGGAACCTGTCAAAAGAGCCACACTTCAGCCACAGGGCTCTCTGCAGGACACACAGGGCCTCCAGTGCCCCCCTTCTCCAGCCAGCTCTCACCCCCAAGCAGCCCCACACTTCTTCACACCTGACATTTTTGGCTGCTCTTCGCCGGGTTTGTCTCTTGGGAGTCTCATCGTCTTCGTCATCATCGTCATCTTCAGATGAGTCTTGTTTCTTCCTCTTCCCACGCTGGATTTTGTGGGGCTTTTTAACACCAGTTTTGGCCACTGTTCTAAAATAAGAGTTAATAAAGCCATAATACAGCATGGTTTATGTAAACATCCACTTTAATAAGGCTTTAAGGAAGCACGGATCTCAAATATTAGACTCCTAAGAGATTTAATCTGCTCCAACTATCATGAAAACCGTTCTAGTGCTCACTGGAGCATGAGATGGGGAGATGAGGGAGTAACTAGGTCTTAGGTTTACTAGGTCACAAACCAAGGTAATACTGCACGAAAAATTCACTAGTGACAAATAGGGATTTCCTCTCCACCCAGTGCAGGCAGAAAAAGAGACTGAACCAACCATTCCTTACCTCCTCTGGACAGGTCTTCTTGCTTTAATTTTCTTCGGTTCAGGCTCACTCTCTCCACTGGTGCCTTGCTCCCCTCCATCTTCATCCTCTTCTCCAGCAGAGACCTCTCTTTTCCATTTAATTCTGTAGCCAGAAATGTAGGTCACGAAGGGCAACAATATTTCTACACAAACACTTGTCTGAACAAACCATCAGGGCCATAATTACAGGAAAAAAGTTCCAAATTATATCCTTGGCTGCTGAGTGCAATGCAGGGGGGCTGCTGTGTTGTGATTCTCTGCTTTTAAGAGCTGGGGGTCTCAGTCACCTGGGGCTTTGCTCACACAGTGGAGGATTGCCTTGAGTGAGAGCAGCTCTTACCACATGTGCTGGTGGCAGAGCTGTACTGCTCAAACCTGGCTGGGCAAGGGCTTTGATTGATGATGTTTTTTTCCTCTACTTCTGCATTTTTGAGATGGGCTGGAAGGATCTGAAGAGAAGTGCTCACTGTCACTGAACATGAGCCACAACGTGCAGAGTTACATGAGCTCCTTGGAGCCCAGAAAATGGAACAAGTCTCCTGCCATGGAAATTCTCCTGCCAATTCAAGTTTCCAAGTGTGAAGCCAAGTCACATTGTACATTAGTGGAAGGAAGCACGTACTCTGGGGACAGCTAGGAACAAAGCTGCAGCTCCAAAATGCCTTTTGGAGGAGCCTTTCCTCCCTCCTAGAGGACACAGAGGGTCCACAAGGATCCCTTGCCCAGGAGAGGTCCATACTACCACAGTCCTCCCTGTGCTTTATCACCCTTCCTCCTGCAATCATGGGCACAACTAAATGAAGAATTAAAAAACAAGATGCAGGAAAAAGCAAGCAGGATGATGTCACTCTGTTTAGATTTGCTCCATCAGGCAGCTCATAGTTCCCCACTCCACTTTAGTGTAGGGAAAAACTAGAAAGTACTTACTAGATGGGAAAAGGCAATGAAATATGACTGTAAGTGAACTCAAGTGATGGTGCTTAGGCATAGAAAGCATTCTTTATGGAAGTTCTTTTGTTTTAACAGAGGATTATAAAAGAGGATAATAATTTGGGATTTTATTCTCTGTTATTCAAAAAGGGATTAAACTGTTTTAAGTGTCTCTGAAGGAGAATCAGTAATCTGATGGAAAAGTGAAAGACTAACAACAGAAAATTACAATTCCTATCAAACAATCCAATGCACTACTGTTCTGAGAAATAAACCAAAGCATCACCACTCAAAACCCTTTCCTTAGAAACTTACTTTCTTTTCAACTGCTTCTGGCGTCTTCTTTTTGGGCTCTCATTTTCAGATTCACTACTTGCCTTTAATTGAAAAGAAAGAAAATCAAGTTGTAGGCTTCACTGTGGACTGGCTCCTCAAGGATGCAAGTGAGACACATGTTCATGGGCTGAGCCAGGTCCTTTCCCTGCAGCATGAAGGACACTGGAGCAGAGCGGCTGCCTCCCAGCACAGCCACCTCAGCTGCTCAGTCCCACTGCTCTGCTCTCAGTGTAAAGAGGAAAACCCTGCAGGAAGCCTGGAGAGCTCTACAACATCACCTGTCTCGAGGTCCCTGAGCTCAGGACCCATCCACCCCTCAGCACCAACCCCCAGTGCCCAACAGACACCATAGCAGACCTGCAGTGTGTGCAGCACCCCAGGGATTGCAAACCCACGGGTGAATTTACCCCAACGATTGCATTATGATCTCTGCCTTCACTGCACAAACTTCCTACAAGGAATGAAATAAAAATACTGTCATAAAAAGGCAATATTCTTATCAAAATTATCCTTGTCTTGCTGTTGGGTTTTTTTCTCCCACAGCAAGTCACCAAGGACCTTACTGGGTCAGAGCTGTGTCCTGTGGCTTTCCTTCCTCCTAGTTCTACAGTCTCCACCAGTGAAGTCTCTTTGGCTAAATATACCTAGAGCTATTCTAACTATTCGCTGTACTATTTTAACAGTGGGCGTCACGAGTTCCCACAGACCAAGATAGCTAAAATAACTTCTTTATGCTGGTTGTACACAACCCCATTTTCATAAAAACTAGTCAACCATGAAAACAGATCACCACACAGATAACATGACTTCTCCTTATCCTCCCCCAGAAAACGCAAATAGGCAGGGACAAAACTGAAGAAACCCACGTGAGATTTCTAAAGAAGTATTAAAATGACAGAAGCAACCTTCAAGATTGCTTGCTCTACACACTTACTGGAAATATTCCATTTCTAGCTGCTCTTTTGCCACAATATTCAGCTTTGGCTCCAGGCACTGTCTGTACATCACTATGGGTACCACAGTTTGCATCTCCTGACAACCCCACTGCTCTCCTGGACAGAGCTCACACAGCTGTGCACACAAGGACCTTGGGGAATCGTGTGAGCTGCAAAACGCATCCTTCATTCCCATTTTCCAGCTTTCCTTCCACCCATCAAAACTTCTGTCTCACTTGCATCAGTGTATCCACTAAAATGCACTAAAATACTGGATGCCACGTTTGACCATGAGCTTTCCTGGATTTGGTGTCAGACTGGCATGTGGCACAATAACAGCTTTTGTACCACATCTTACTACAAACACGTGTCCATCCACCTGTTTCACAGCCCTGCATGAAAACCCCATCTCATTTGCCAACCATGAAGCAAGTGCCTGGCAAACACCACAGAGAGCCTTGCAACACAAGCCAAGCATTCCACAGGTTTCAGTTTTGACACACAAAATTTAAAAGTCCTCAGCTTTTCTTTTCTCTTTTAATCTCTTATGCACTTCCTGAAGCTTTTTCATTCCAGTTGGGCATGATTTTAACAGCTGCCCCTCAGTGCATGTTTACTTTTGCTGTCTTTTGGCAAGCCACAAGTAAAGAGAGGTGGATTTCTCTTCTGCTCTGTGTCAGAGATCACATTGTGAGAAAACCAAATACAACCCTTAGTTCTTTGAAATTAACTCCACTTCTGTGCCAAAATCCCATTTTCCAAGTTTCTAGTGTCCATTTTCCCAATGCCTGTACTCTCCCCCTGCTCTGTCACTGTCTCTACAAAACTGATGATTATCTCTAAATGACTTGACTTTTCCTCCCCTCTTCCACCTTGAAAAACATAACTTGTGATTGCAGCTCAGCCACCTTCCCTTACATATTTCAGAAACAGCGTTGTCTGTTTTGGATGCTTGTCGAGCCCAGCCCTATCTCCTCTGACACAACCAGTCCCCAGCTTGAGTCACCTGCCTGCCTTGTGCTCCCACATCCTCCCCATCCCAGTATGGAGTCCTCAGCCTCTCCCCCCACTCCCTGGTGTCTCCTGGTGGTAAATTCCTTGTTTAAGGAAGCCCAGAGGACAGCCAGAGAGCCAGGCTATGCCAGGTCCAGAGCGTGCACCTGAGGCCCTGTCTGCCCACCACCACCGTCAGAACACACTGGTTGGGAAATCACATGAAACTTGAATTTTTGTAATGTCACCTCCCTGAATGACACAAGCTAGACTGGCAAAGTCCATCCCCAGTCCCAGAGGGATTTTTGTCAGCCCAGTGTGATATGCTGGGGTCACACTGCTCGCTCCAGAGCCCAAGTGCCAGTGCTGGAATCAGGCTGTCCTGCTGGGGTGCTGCTGCTGTGGCCGAGGGGAAAGACAAGCCTGGATCCCCCTTATCAAAATGTGCCCAAATTATTCCTGCACCACTGCTTCAAGCTGGACTAGGATCTGGCCTCTTACAATTTCCCCATCTGCACCTGAAGGGATCAGCCTTCCTTCTCCATGCCTCACTGATTCCTCCCATCAATTCTTTCCCTCTCTCAGCACATAAAGTGCACACACTTTTACCAGATTAATTGCACTGTATTCTGCCATGGAGCAACACTGAACAAATATAATGATGCTGCACATGTAGAACCAAGCAGAGCAACACAGAGTAATTCAAAGTTCTGCTCCTATAGATTATCCAGGAGTGTCCTTGCCACTAGCCCAGGCTGGCAGAAAGGGAGATTCCAGCCCACTGGAGAGGAGATCCAGGTGAGCCTCTGGAGCTCACATCAGGAGAGATAATGACTTGTTTAAACAGAGCCAAAAGTATTTTAGACTAAAGTCAAAGTGAGGATTTGCTCATTTCAGGCTTAACAGAGGCCAAATCTAGCACTCCAGAAAAGCTGGAGAATCTCAGCTCACCAGGTTAGTTTTGTATCTGCTAAACTTCTCTTTTCCAGTCAGACCAGTAGTGTTTGAATTTTCAGTAAATACATAAGGCAAAGCATTGACCAAAATGCAAATGAGCAATTTTTTTTTCCAATAAGAAAGCCAGCTGTATTTTTAGAACACACTGGTGCGTGACTTGTGGCTTCCCTCTGACAGAAAAAAATACACTGACATTTGTCACCAATTTCAATCTGAAACTATTCTTTTTATAGTAGAAAGATTGTGTCTGGTGGGGGCACATTTATTTCTCAGCTGGCCCAGAATCACAGAAACATGGAATGATAAAAAGGTTTGGGTTGGAAGGGAGCCTAAAGATCATTCAGTTCCAACCCCCTGCCATGGGCAGGGACACCTTCCACTAGACCAGGCTGCTCAGAGCTCTGTCCAACCTGGCACTTCCAGGGGTGGGGCAGCCACAGCTTCTCTGGGCACTCTGTGCCAGTGTCTCACCACCCTCACAGGGAAGAATCTCCTCTATATATCTAACCTAAATCTCCCCCATTTCAATTTAAAAATACTCTGAAAGGCACCTGATTCTGCATGCCTCACATCTCCCCGCTGAAACCTGAAGCTGAATTTATTAACTGCAGAGAAAATAGCTGGGGAAGTAGCGTTTTTACTAAAAATCTCACACGTTCTCTTGTTCCTGGAGACAGCTCTGGGCCTCTGAGCAGATCTGTGCTCCTATGCAAAGCTGCACTTTCATTTCCCCAGTGGCTCAGCCTGGATATTGATCACGAGGTATCACCCTCAGACACCTACACAGTGAGCCCAGAAATGCTCAGCAGGTAACCATGTCTAACACACAAATAACCCCAGCCAGAGTGCTGCTCTCAGAGGACACAGCAGGGCCCCAAAGCCTGAATCAGCTCCACCTCTGTGCCATCTCCCCCACCCAGGTGAGTCACGGGGCAGCGCAGGGAGCTGCCATGGCTCATCCATCCTTGCTCTGGTCTGAGCCTGCCACGCTGCCTGCACCATTTGCTAATCTGCAGAGAAGCATTAGGGAAGAAGGCAATTACAAGCCCCCAGACATTGTGCTGGAAGTCCTAAGCAGTGGGTGGGTCACTGGAGACAGGATTAACCCTGCGAAGGCAAAAAGCATCTTCAGACGTGCCTTGGGTTTGTGCCCCCTCCAGCAGAAGCAAGGAGTGCTCAGCACCATGCAGGCTGGAGCTGTGCCATTCCCTCTCTCTTGGTGTTTTCCAAAAGCAAGACTTTCAGTCTCCTCCTGCTCTCTGCGAGGCCCCTGCACTGTGCTCCTGACAGGTCACACCCTCCACCAGACTCTGCTGCAGATGGGAGCTGTCCTGTGGGGACCAGTCAGTGTTGCTTTGGGGACAGAGGGGTGAGGGCATGCTCCAATTATTTTCATTTCAGCTGTTTCACAGAAGTTGCAGCTATTGTCATTTGGAGGACCTTTGGGGTTGGTGGTTTTTTTTTGTTTTTTACAATATTTTGTGGTATAGCAAAGTTTTTGCATCTCAGATTTTTTTTTTTTAATTTTTACCTTAAGTAGTAGGAAATAAAGATATTGAAAAAGAAAACAACATTTGCAAAACCACGTAATATTGTAAAACAAAAAAAGAAGGGACTTACCTGTGCCCCTAAGAGGGCAGGGGGGTGTGCAGCGGAGCTCTGGGGTGGGTGTGAGGTCGCCGGCACAGTGCATGCCGGGCCATCGCACAGAGGGGCGGCCGGCCAGCCCAGCCTCTGCCAACTTGAAAAGGAAAACAAAAGCTACGTCAATGGTGCACCCCGAGCCCCTTCCTGACCTCTGCTCTGCGGGACAGCCAGCACAGGAGTCTGGGGGCAGCTGGTGGCACTGGGGTGCCACCAAGGCTCAGCAGTAAAGCACCAGAGCAAGGAGCTGGAGACCTCCGTGTGTCCCCTAGAGCATCCGAACGCACATCTTGGTGGCAAAGCACAAACAGCCCGAGTCACAGAGCACCACTGGACCCCTGCTCTGCTCAAAGTCTGCTGCTTATCTTCAGATTCCCAGCCCCAAGCCCCAAACTCTCCACAGATAACTCTTTCAGGTTCTCTTTTCCCTCTGCTATAGCTACTCAACCTTCCTGAAGACCTGTAGATGAAATGCTCCATGTAGAAAACCTGTCAGATGCAAATTACGGTGGAACCTAATTTCTACAACTTCAGAAAAAAACCAACAGTGTTCTGAAACAGGAACAATTAGAAGGTTTGGCTGCCAGGCTCTGACCACTGTCACCTTCAGCTGAAGCATAAAAGACTCCCCAGTGTTCAACCAAAGAAAGTGATGGGTCATAAAGCTGCACACACACAAATGCATTTATTAGTGGGATCCATTCCAGGATGGGCAATAATGACTGTTTTGTTGCTATGAAGTGTTTCAGGGAACTTTCCTTTATTCCTGGTTGGACTTGTGTTGCATTTTGGTTTTGTTCTGTTTTTTTAATTACACAGATTCCTCTCCAGGATGGTCCTACAGCAGAGCAGGACTTGCATTATGCCCCATTCCAGCAATCAGATCAGTGCACGCAGATCTCAGCCCAGGCAGCGTCCCGCTCACTCCAGAGGTCTCAGGCCAAGGATCCAGCTGCAGGAGGGACCTCAGCTGTGAGCTCCAACATCCATGCACCAAACTGGGTCTTAAGTGTTTACAAGGCAATGCAGCTGACACCTCCCTTTCCTCTTTGGGCTTGGTTGGTTTTATATGTTCGATAATCCCTCATCCTTTTTTTTTTTTTTCCTTACCTCATCTTTTATATTAAATCGTGACGGTTCTTGTCTGCTTCGGTTTGACCTCCTAACCCCATAAACATCAGGATATTCTTCCCACATCTGCAAAATAAACAGACCATCAGAAGGCCTGCTTCACCCCAATTATTTTTGACATTTTAGAGAAGTTTGATGGTGGCTTAAAAATATATAAACCAGAAACCATTAGGGAATTAGCAACCAGCAGATGGACAGTTTAAAAAACTGGCTGAAAAGGATTATTATTATTTTGGGATATTTGACAGCTCTCTAAAGGAGCATGTGTTTATCTCAGTGTTATCTTTACAGTGGTCCATCTTTCCACTGAGGTACAAATCACTCTCCAGCTCTCTCAGGCTGAAGGACAGAGTGTTGAGGTAACCAGCCCTCTGCAGCACTGGTGCCAAACGAATGAAGGCAATACCTTCAACATGGAATGAGCAGACCTACCAACTCAACAGGGCACTTCTCTGTCACTAACAGCTTCCAGCATAATTCCTTTCCTGGTGGAAAGCCCCACCAGCTGCCTGGAGACACGGCCAGCTGCAGCTTCAAAGGTGAATTCTGTGGCCCAGTCTGGATGGCAAATGGAGCAAGATACCCTGTCATTTGGCAAGGCAAGGCAGTGGCCGCTGGCTCCTCTCCCAAATGCACTGATGGGAATGTGGTTTGGCAGCACAGGACACATGGATGTGCAGAGGTGACTGCTGGCCATGGTTGTGCTCTTTGCTGTAAAAGGAGGCCCTCACCAGTTCAACACACCGTGTATAAGAGCATGCAATTGTTCTTGTGAATGGGCAGGAGAAGGGGACACAAAAACAGATGCCCTGAGGGGGATGAATGCAGAGCTTGTGTTGGTGACACAGGACACAAGAATTGCAGGGCAGACACAATCCACCACCATGCCCCTCGAATTCCTACACCAGCAATTCCTCTCTCCCTCAGCAGACCTCTTAGTTCTCTACATCTATTCATTTCCTTCTGATTCTCTCTCCCTCCAATCCTTAAATATCTCTGCAAGCCACTGGAAGGGAAAGGAGATCAAACTATGCTGCCAGATGCAGCAGTGATGGGATTGAGAGCGTGATGGATACGAGGCTGCAGCCCAGGAATTTTTCTGCCTCTGTTAAAGGAGTAATGGGAAAAGGGACAGACTGTGACAGTGTACATCTATTGGGCATGCAAGTACTGAGGTATATTCTCATTAAAGAATAAACCCTCAAATTTAATGCTCCCCAAACCATTTGAAGAACTTGTCTTTTTATCTATTAAATGGCATGGGTTTTGAATGTGGGAGCAACTTCCATGATAAATCTTAATAGCACCTGACACAGATTAACCTCACCTTCATGGGTGTATCTAGGCAAATACCAAACAAACAATAATATAATAATTAATTGCATTGGTTATTCAAGAGGAAGAGGTATCAACATGCCTAGGTTAGACCTAGCTAAGGAAGACACCCATTAACAGAGAAATTAAGGAAGGGAGAGGCTTTCTTATTAGAGGGTGTCCTGACCTTTTCATGTTTCACCCACGGTAATTATCACCCTGTGTATATGCACTCCCTCACAGGATAATGTTAACATTTGTTAGAGACATGCTCTTAGAATCCTTCAGAGGGAGAGAAGATTTCCTTTGGTGCCCACTCATCAACAACAGACCACAGATTTTAATATGGTGTTACCACAACTGCCTTATATACTCATCCTCCCTTGCCAAGTCCGAACACTGGAGGATTTAACCACTACCTAAGCCAGCAGCCTGGAGCTTTGTGGGAGGCAGAAGGTAGTAACAAAATCCTTCACTTCTCCCTGGCATGTCTGTGGGGAGCACAGGCTGGAAGCACTGTCCTTCCTCCTTATCTTTTACACACATAGCACCTTTTCCATAAAACTCACTCTCAGGAGCAAGCTGTGCCCAGTGCAACCCATGGCTAAGAACAACAGGACGGTTACACACCACAAACAAACAAACAAGCTGACCTAACCAGAATCTTCTCCTTCCAACTGAACTCAGTTCACTGAGTTCCTGTCTCCAAATGGTATTTGGGCTCCTCTTTCTCACCTCACACTGCCCTGTGTTTGTCAGATGCCTCCATCCCTCTTGTAAAGCAGGTACCTGAGGTGCAGCTTCTGCCCTGGGGTGTGCAGAGGGATACCATGAGCAGTAACACCCACAATCCCCTTTCCTGCTGGACAGCAAGTGGAGGGAAAACCTTACTATCTGAGGGGTATTGCTAGGGAGGAGCTGGGAAGGTACAGGGAAAAAAAACCAAAAAAACAACACAACAAAGAAGTACTGTCCTGTTCTGGACTTAATTATGGAAGTTCTTTTTTTTTTTCCTATGCTTTTTTGAGAGGAAGAGTGATGTAAAAAAAAAACCAAAGAGGTTCAGACTTCAAATCCTAGACAAACTTCAAACCCTCTTCCTGAGTATCACATAGGGAGGCTTTACTGCCTCTGAGGAGAGACAGGATAGAGGAGTGGAAAGACAGAGGGAGAGGATGAAATGACAGGACCATGTACTGATGACAGGCACCTGCCCCTCATTTGCACCAGTCAGCTCTGTCACCATCTACTGGGTGCACCAGGGGCTGTTCCACAAACGCAGCAGCTCCTGCTCTCAAGGGTGACAGCAGCAAGGCTCCTGCACACAGACCAAACAGCCCCTGAGGACACTGGAGGTCAGAGGCTGTTTGGTCCATGTGCAAAGTGGCCAGGAAGTTGGGCACAGCTTCACTGAGGTCCTGCTGTCTGACCTTCCATGATGGGTACAGGAGTAACGTGTCCATGCAGAGCAGCAGGGGTAATACCTTTTTAACATCTGCTATCCTTTCCTTCTTAGAGGCTGGTTTTTCTTTGGTTTCAGGAGGGGTCTGCTGGGATTTGGAACCCGTTGATTCACTTTCGGATTCAGACTGACTCTCAGAGGACTCGGAGCTGCTGTTTGACTCGCTGCCCTGCTCACTTTCAGACTGGCTTGCAGAGTCAGAGCCAGAGGCTTCTTCGGATGCCGAGTGACTAATGGTAGAGAAAGAAGAGGTTACATTTTAACTGCACTGACACCGCTGTGAAGTACGCAGGGAGCAAACCTGAGACACATCTGAGCCCACAACAACAGGTTTGGAAAAGCCTGAACGCACGTGTGGACCCTGCAGGCTCAGACACCCCACACTGGCATTCTGCAGCAGAGGCAATTCCTTCGCAGGACTGGCAGTGAACACTGGTGAGAGTGCAGCCCCAAAATCCCTGCCCGGGACGTCCTGTTCATCACCAGAACAAAAGCAGTGGTGGCAGGTGGGGAGAAGATCAGCAGTACCAGCAGCACAGGTTCTGCTGCGAGGCTCTGGCTGTCCTGGAGCGGGGCACAGTAAGGCACAGTGGGAGCTGCAGTATCCAGAGATCATCCTGCTACATCAAAGATGAGGAATTGCTCCAGCACGGTTCTCCTCTGCATCCCAGTGTGGCCAGTGGTTCAAAATAAATCTGATATCCGCTTTCTGGAAGAGCCCAGTATCAAAAGCACTATAACCATAATACCGTGAGTGATGTTAAATATAATGGTTTTTGCAAAAAGAATTAATTCATCAACAGGGCAGAAGAAAGAAGCTTATATGGGCTTGTGGCTGGGGCTCCTGTTTAAAGAATTACACCAGTGCTGTGCAGACTGCATTTCTCAAGCCGGTAATGGGAAAGCAGAATACTAAGTGTAGTTTCCCCATTTTAAATTTTTTTACTATCTTCTTATAAAAATGAGTTAACACCTAGTGTATCCCCTTAAATAAAAGCTCCTCAACAAAACAATGAGAGGCCAAACTATTTCCGGTGACCAAAATATTCAACTACCTTTGCCCAATCACTCCCAACATATATATTTTTTATTTGAAGAGCCAAAAAAGTAAACTGAAATCTCAGTACACCTTACTACACGTGTGCTGGCAAGGCAGCATTCAAACCCCACTGCCACAAACAAAAAGATAGTAATGATGCCACAGATTTCCAGAACAAGCAGCACTCCTTTCCCAGTCAGCTTTCCGCTGGCAGATGTGTTTGTGATATTTAAGGATTCGCTTAGGTAGAACACTATGAAAGAAGAGTCAGAAAAACTTTGCAGAGAGATTAAACAGAATTTTTATTTTTTTTTTCTACTTTTGCACAGAAGTGACAAGGCACACAAAAGGCTTTGCTCAGATTTCACGGCTCAAGGGAGAAACAGTAAAAAAAAAAAAAAAAAAAAAAACACCAAAGAAAATATGTGCACATGCACATTCACACCCGCCTCCGCAGGGTTACCGTGAGGGGAGCCGCTCCGGCCGGCACAAACCCCCGCTCCGGGCTGTGGGCCGGGGAGCGGGCAGGGGGCAGCACCCGCGCGCCCTCAGGCGCCGCCGCCGCCATTTCGCGGCCGCCCCTCCGCCGCCATCTTGCGACCGCGGGGCTGTGCCCGATCCCTGGGATGGATCCCGGGATGGATCCCGGGATGGATTCTGGGATGGATCCCTGGCACTGCCCTCCGAGCCTGAGGGGACACAAACAGAGCCTTCCACAAGGAGAAGGGACAGCCATGGCCCGTGAATGCTGTTTCACCGTGCCAGCCTGGGTTTGAGGGAATGGGGTGATCACACTGCATCCAGCGAGCAGGGCTGGAAATTCAAGTTAAAGCACGGCCATCCCAGTCCCTGCTGCCTGTCCCTGCCCGAGGATGGAGGCTATCCACGAGAACCAAAGGCGCGGCCCCACGCGCGGTGTCCCGCTGCACCCCTTGTTCTGCAGGCTCTACAGGAGTGACCCCCTTGTCCACCACAGCCATGACTTGTGGCGGTGCCACGCTGCTCCTGGAATGGCACTCCAGCAGCTCTGGGGACAGATGGTGGCCACGGGCAGGGCTCAGCAGGACACCATCCCACGGGCCTCCACAAAGGAATGGGATCTCTGCTGGCACAACAGTGAGTGGCAGCATCAGGCTCTGCTTGAGGCATGCGGGCGTCCCGTGTCCCACAGACACAGAGGAAGAGGAAGACAGTTTTTTCTTCAATCTGATTTCTGAGCAATGTCTGGAAGGAATTTTAACAGCCGAGGCAAGGCTGAGGGCAGACAGCTCTGACAGTATTTGTTTAGAGGCAGAACAGTAATTAGTGCCTCCTCCCGCTCTGGAGCTCTTTGTTCCTCCAAGCCTTAAGCTTTATTTCAAGGACACAGGGACACAGGCTCTCTGCACATCAAGAGCCATAATTCATGTGCTTTATCCACAACATTGTCTGAACACTGTAATTCTTTTTTTCAGGCTGTGAACTGTGTCATCTGAAAAGAGGGAGACTTCTCTGGTGACAGACACATCTGTATGCGCAGGTATTTGCCTGCACACCTGCTTCCCCTACTAAGGAAAGAAACACAGATGAGAAGGGGTTATATCCTTTTGAAGGCTGTTGCAAATAACTCTTTTTTTTTTTTTTATGAACAATCTGTTATTGAGGCAAAATATGTGTTTGTCTTCTTTTCTATGTTGATCAGATTAAAAAATATCAGAAAGGCCTATTTTCATAAAAGAATAATTTTTAACTGTCATTGGGACAATCAGGAAGCATTTCTACCTGCCAAAAGAATATAATGTATTAGCAACATCAGATGTCAAATCAGGCCTAACACTGTATATACCTGGAGACCTAAGTCCTCTTTTCAGAAATTATTTTTGGAATTTGTCCTGGTTTAACGCCCCTGAGTTAGCATCCAAACAAGACCTACTTTCAATTAAACTAAAAGTGAGAAATAAGCTATAATTAATTGTCACAAAAATCACAATTCAGCCAGACCACCCTCCTCCAAAAACACCCATGAACATCAAATGAAAGCAACAGATGGATAATTGGTAATTTCCTTGAAGTGAGAAACTCCTAAAAAAAGTTAAGATCTGCAAAGACTCAGCCAAATACATTCCTCTGGTTTCCAAGAAATACTTCAGGCTCCAAGTCTGGTTTAATTAAGAGCCTGCTCCTGACTTGAAGGGGAGCAAAACTATCATTCCTTACCAAGAAGGACATGATCCTTCCAAGAAATAAGTAGCTGCAATGCAGCGATAAGGCCCTTTACAATGAGGCATCTGAATTAAAAAAGCAATTACCACGTGCCTGAAGCCTCCAGACTTTGCATTTAATATTTCACATATGACTTCATTTTATAGATCATCTTTGCAAACAGCAAATCAATTTACAAGTTCTCAGTAAGAACAAACAGTAGATATGCTTCCAGAAGGTGTGAGACAGCTGAAAAAAATGACCCCAATATGCATTTGTGAAACCAAGAACTGACTGGGGAATGGCTCTAACTGGGACCATTCTGCCTCAGTGTTTAAAATGTGGCTTTTGAGGGACAGAACTTGAATTCAGACAGGGGAATAAAGGAGGATTAATAACCCAAGACCCTCCCACAAGCAAAGCTCCTCCCAGCTTTAAGAACTGTTGTGAATGTTTTTAATCTAAACAAGTTTGAATCCCAACAGCAACATTCCACTGGGCTTCACAAGCTCTGCAGGGATTCGGCACCAGCAAAACCACCCCGCAAGGGCTGGAGAAGGACCTTGGCAGGTGATCCCATGGCTGGATAAGATCAGGGGCCGGATGACAGCAGAACCGTTATATTTAACTCCTGTGCATTGTCGGCCACAGCCTCAAGTGCTGTTGGTAAGTGACACCCAGGTGCACATCAGCGGCTCACTGACACCACAATGCCCCGGGCAGGTGGCTGGGACACAGCCCCTCCCTGCTCCCACCCCTCCTCGCCCTGCAGCCCATGTTCCCAGCACTGGCTGGAGCCGCTGGGTTTCCTGATAACACCTGGACAGCCCAGGGAAACAGCAGGCACTGCTGGCTTCAGCCCAGCCCAGCCCAGCCCAGCCCAAGCCTTTACAGTAACCAGAACAGTGGAAATAAACTGCACTTGGCAGTGCAGGTGAGTTGCAGAGTGGACAACACAACAATAGCTTGAACTCAATGATTTCAGGGGTCTTTTCCAATCTCACAGACCCTGAGAAGGGGGTGAGCAGCCCAGGGCTGGAGGAGCTGCTGGGTCAGCCCAACTCTATGCTCTGTCCCCACAGCCCCACTGGCCTCGACAGGACCATGGCGGGGTCCAGACCAGGGGTGTCTGGCAGAGCCAACTCAACCTGAGAGGAGCTCCTGGGCCACCACAGCTCCTCAGCTCAGGCTGCCAGCTGCTCCAAGCCACTCCCATCCACCAGCAGAACCAACCCGAGATTCATTCCAAAGCACAGAGCAGCAAAGCCAGTGCAGGTCTCCAACTTTATTTAAACAGGTTTGTCTTCCTAAAGTGACCTGTGCAAACTGCGGGACACACAAGCACAGTAACAAACCACAGAAAGGGCAAACACATCGACTGAGATAAGGACCGGCTGCTGTTAAACATTTCCTGGAATATCTGATATATAAATGGGATGTTCCCTATTATGCAGAGAAACTATTTACAAGAGCATGTAGTGACAGGACACGGGAATGGCTTCAAACTGAAAGGAAGTAGTTTAGATTAAATATTAAGAAAGAATTCCTTACTGTGAGCTTGCTGAGGCACTGGAACAGGTTGCCCAGACAGGTTGTGAATGCCGCATTCCCTGGAAGCATTTGAGGCAGATTGGATGGGGCATCCTGGTCTAGGGGAAGGTGTCCCTGCCTATGGCAGGAAGGTTGGAATGAGATGATCTTTGAGGTTCCCTTCCAACCCAAACCATTCCATGTTTTTATATAAACATATATGAAATGGCTACATATATTACAAATACAAACAAGCACCGTGACTGTTGATATGTGCACTCAAGTCACAGGGTAGCTGTAAAAAGACACTAAACTAAATTTAACCTTTAGGCTAAACAAGCCAGGGAGAGGAACACAAAATCAGTTCTAGTTACAGATCACTAGATAAAGAGAAGATAATAGGGGCACCACAGAGGACTGAGCAAATACCACAGTAATCATAGACAAGGCCATATAGACACAGCATATAGAGCGTGCAGG